AAAAAGGTAATTATTTAAATGAAAAACAATATTTGTTATAATCATTTTCATTAGTATTCTTTGGATTAGGACTAAACCTAGAATAATTAAAAATATTACCATACAATACCCATTGTCTTGGACAGAGGAAGCCCAGTTCATTGGATTATTAAAGAAGAGGGAGCAACTATGCCTATAGGCAGAAAAGCAGGGCAGAAACCTTAGAAATTGGCTCTTCTGAGCCATCTTTTAATGGAGTTACTGGAGTGAGATTGAGGAAAAAGCAGGATGATTTAAGAAATTAGAAAGTGGACAAAAATTGAGACAAGTAAATGTCTAGGAGTTATAGGAGTCTTTAGTCTTCAAGGAAAAAAATGTCCAAATATTGTTTATAAAAATCAAAAGTAAATTTGTGATTGGGTGATGACCCTGGCATTGTAAAGTTGAAAAATGAAACAGTTATCCAAGGAATTCAAGCAAAACCCTTTGTATTATCTGAGTTATTTGAATAATTGAGGTGAACGTGGGATTTCTGCCTGGATTATTCAGATAATTGCCTTAATTCCAAGATTCATTTAGTTGGTGGAGACCTTTCCTTAGGATGTATTTTTAGAATGCTAAATGTGAAAAATTAGATTCCTAAATTAAGCAGAGCAATAGAATGAGGGAATGTAGGAGGAGAGAGAGAGAAACAATGAGAGAGAGGGGAGAGAAGAGAGAGAGAAATATAACCAGTTCATTGTCAGAATAAACCATACTTTTCCCCCACACTTTTTCTAATGACAATAACTGGCATCCACTTTTTCATCATACAATGAACTTCCATGATGAAAAAAGGAACTATGTATAGATCTCAGATACGACCCATGGTATTTCCTAAAGTTATAAATTCCTTTTTGGGTTTCAATTCTTTAAAAGTATGGAAACTTAGTGGCTCTAAATTCAGCCATTTAATTTTACAAAGCCAAGTAAATTGACTTAAAAATCATACCGTACTGGGGCGCCTGGGTGGTTCAGTAGGTTAAAGCCTCTGCCTTCGGCTCAGGTCATGATCTCAGGGTCCTGGGATCGAGCCCCACATCGCATTGGGCTCTCTGCTCAGCGGGGAGCCTGCTTCCTCCTCTCTCTCTGCCTGTCTCTCTGCCTACTTGTGATCTGTCTGTCAAGTAAATAAAAAAAATCTTAAAAAAAAATCATACTGTGTTGTTTGACTTCATATTGTTGGTATTTGCCTTCAATTCTTTTTTTTTTTTTTAAAGATTTTGTTTATTTATTTGACTGACAGAGATCACAAGCAGGCAGAGAATCAGGCAGAGAGAGAGAGAGAGAGAGGAAGGGAAGCAGGCTCCCTGCTGAGCAGAGCTCCCAATTCGGGGCTCGATCCCAGGACCTGAGCCGAAGGCAGAGGCTTTAACCCACTGAGCCACCCAGGTGCCCCTGCCTTCAATTCTTAAAAACAAATTAAAAGGATTATCATACCTAAATTGACACTCCATTCTCTTCTTTGGTAACACAACCCTGGGCAGTGAGCCCAACTGGGAAATTATTTGCCCACCTCCTTTATAGCTGAGTGTGTCATATTACTAAGTTTTGACCCATGATGGAAGTGTTGTTTGATGTAAGGACCTACTTAGCAAGAGGCTTTTATTAAAGTTAAACTGTCTCTGCTCCCCTTCCCCTAGGGAACAAGCCCCTGAAACCAGCTCCAGGTAACAAAGCCCAGATACAAGGGTGGGTCAGGCCAGGTGGAGACATCGGATCAGTGGGGGGACGCATACTGTCTCCCTGGTTACCAAGGAGTATGGGCCCCGCCCTTTGGGAGCCTTTTGGGCACCAATCCCAACCAAGGTGATAGGCTGGGTCAAATGTCTACTAGGGTAAATTGTAACTCAATTGGTCACCTAGCATCACTGTGGAGTTTCCTGTGTGTGTTATAATCTCATTGGTCACCTGTGCGCGGCCAGGCCTGACCGCATGGTCTTTGCCCTTAAAAGCTAGACTGTGAGACAGAGAAGGGTCTCCCTCTCTTGTAAGAGGTGAGTCCCCGAACGTTTGGTTAGATTCTTCATGCTTGGCGTGAAATAAAGCTTTGCTTGACCTTCACTTTATATCAGTCTCGCTCCTTTAATCATAGACCTGTTATTGGGGCATTAACATTTGAGACTTCTAGATAGGATCCCCCTTTTCTGAACTACTTCTGGCCTCCAGTGAGGACAAGATGCCTAGATCTCCAGTAGCCATTTTGGGCCATAACATTGGAAGCCACACACAAGGATGGTGCAAGATTTAGAAGGAACCTTAGCCCATGATGACCAGACCTGCTCTGTGATGCCTACTTCTGCACCGCTTTTACTTAAGAAAGTAGTAACTTCTATTTTTTTGAAGACACAATTATTTCTGGTCTTTATTACTAGCAGGTGAACACAATTACTAAATAACACACACATTAAAGTATTGATTGAAAATATTTTGGAATTTTAGGCTTAAATTTCCAGATATGTATAATGGCCTCTTTAAATCTACCCCTCCCTTCTCTCTCTCTCACACACACACACACACACACACACACACACACACACCCCAACTAAGTGGTTATGTGATGTTGTACCAGTTACACATTTTCTGCAATTGCAAATAATAACATTTGCAGTGGGAATTGTAAGAAGATAAAAACTAAAGCATTACTCAAGAATTTTTCAGTATGTATACACAGACTTAAAAAAAAAACAGTGGAAGGAAGGAAGAAAGGACAATAGAGAAATAGAATGTAGTAATAGAATGTTAATAACAATTTTTTATTTTTTGCAGATTTAGCTAAGGTAAGTATAATATTGATAACATGAGAGGAAGGAAACATCTATAGAGCAATCTAATGCAATAGTATTAATTATTTTCTCTTTAGAAGCTGCCCCAATTCTCTTCATCTTTTAAAGATCCAGCTCTTCCATGAAATGCTCACCAACCCCTCTTCAGAAATTTAGCCTCTCCCCTTTGTTGCATTTATTAGGGCCAGGACTAAGTTACAGTAAGGGAAGTATTTGTTTTAGGCACAACATTTTAAGGGGTGCCAAAAAAGTTCAGCAATCAAGAAAAATATTTTAATGGAATATTTTAATTAACAGACTACACCAAGCAGATCAGTCTCTTGGTAAATAAAATTTTTTATAAATAAATTTTTAATTATGCTTCACATTTATCTCTGCTATAGCACTCAAATAATACTTTTTATAAATGTTCTCCCAACAGTGTTATATGCATTTTCATATTCCTCATGTGCTTACTACTCTTTTTTAAGCATAAAGTTCTCTTAAAAAATATTAAATTCCATCTATTGAAAGATTTTGCAAGAATATACTGTATTAGGGACAGCTGGATTATGTTTTCATCATTAAATTCAACTATAGCAAAAGAATAATAGAGGGTGATGAATGTTTGAAATTACTTATAGTTCAGTTCTATGGAAAAATCACCTGACTTCTCTTTGACTAAAACCCTGCTCAGCCTGGAGAGATAGGGAATTCTAATACTACTTTATATTCATATAGCATTTCGACCTACATAAAGTGCTTTCTTTTAATTCTCACCTTAATCCTATAAAGTAGGTATTATCATCCTTATTTATTACAGAAAGATTGAGAAGTTAAGTGACCTGCCCAAGGAGTAACAGGCAGAAGTGGCAGAGCTGGGGTTCAAACCCAGGTGTTCTGTGTCAGAATTCAATTCCTTTCTGCTCTTCCAAATGCTAAGTTTTGGGATTGACTGAAGATAAGGAATTCATGAAGCAACTACAACAGCATGTGTTGTGTTTATGAAATAATGTCAATAGCACCCAAAACAGCAGTATTTTACCAAGTGTATTCCTCAGGACTAAGACTGTTCCGATTCTTTTATGTGTGTATGTTTGATGAAGTAGTTCAACTCTTCTGTTCCAAGGTATTTTTTTTTTTTTGTTAAGGGCAGAAATCTACATAATTAAAATGCCAAAGAACGGGGAAAAATGAGGATATTATGTATTTCTTGAATATTAGTTTCTAGCTACCACTTTACCACTAATCTGTGTGTGATATTCTGCAAAGCATGTAAACCATGTGTTAGCTTCTTTATTAAAAGAAGCTTTTGGGAAGGTCTTTAAACTTTTCGGCTGATGAAGGTTATTTAAATGTGAAATATTATTACAGTATTCAGGAGTTAGGAGTTGATTAAGTTTAACAGGTTACTTTTTCATATTTAGGGGAAAAATCTATGACTATATTTTAAAACTCCACATGGTAATTAAATTTGTTTGAAAACCTATTAACTGCTTCAAATATAATTTTCATCAACATAAAATAAACATAACTCCAAACCAAGATGTCCATTATCACCCAGTCTAGTAGAAGATTTCTTATTAAAATTATAGATTCTCCTCATTGGTTGCTGCCCAGAGAATTCAAAAACTTCAGTCTTCTCTTTGTAAGCCGATAGCTGAGTTCTAAAGGAAAGCCTCCTTCTTAAGAACAACCAGAATTCAAAGAAATTCAAAGCTATTCATTTTGGTGAATTGCAACCTGTCATCAATAACTATTTATTGAATGTCCACAGGGTGCCTAGGCATTCAAGTGGCAAGTGATTTATTTGCATTATTCAAAGGATTTCTAAGGAGAGTCTGAAGATTTGCAGATGTCTTTAAAGATGCAAAGTGGTATGTGCCTCTTTAATTTAAACTGCCCCTACCAGGAATGAATTGAATAGTCTGGGTTTCAGAGCTCTAGGGATTTCTAGCACTCAGAGCGGACTTCTGTAAGCGAAGACCCCATTGGGTGCCAAGCGACAGGCAGGCTGGTGGTCAGAACATGGCCCCACCGGGGGCTTCTGGACAAGTCAACACCTCCCCGGGCTCAGGCAGGGCGGACTGCAGCAATGGCTACCCTGACCCGCCGCCACCCCATCCCTCCCCGCTACCCCTCCACTCCCACCCCCCACATCAGGCTCACACCCTCTCCCAGTCTCCCAGCTCCGACCGGTTCTCGCGAGATCCGGGCAACTGAGCGCTCGGGGCCTTTTCAAATCGGGATCCGTTACCGCTTTCCCGGCCGCCGCCATTGTGGCGCTCGGAGCCCCTCAGCGCAGGCGGCTGAGGCGGAGGCGGAGGCAGCGGTAGCGGGATGGCGGACGCCGACAAGCCCGAGGTGCTGCGGGCCGCTGGCGACGACAGTCCGCATCAGCAGCCCGTGGAGCAGCCGGGCGAGCCGCGGCGAGAACCGCACCCGCCGGAGCCGGAGAAGCAGCCGCCGCAGCACAGCAGCAGCTCCAATGGCGTTAAAATGTATTGTCTTTTTCTCCGGGAACCGGGGCGAGGTGGGGGGTGGGGAGTCGGCCTGTGGCGGCCGGGGCGGAGGGGCGTCGAAGCCGGCCTGGGCCTCGGTGAGGGATAACCGCCCCAGGGCCGTGGGCGGCGGGAGGAGCAGGTGCAAGCCGGGCCGCTCCCAGGCCTTACCCTCCCGCACCGTGCCGGGGGAGCCGGGGTGCGAGCCCGGGGCCGACGCCCCACCCCTGTTGATCCTCCCGAGACTGTGGGTCACCCCTTCTTCCCAGACTTCAACTGGAGAACCTTTAAGCAAAGCTCCGCGGCCACCACGGTCTTCAGGAAAATGGTCCCCCTTTTAAAGCCCAGTACTGTAGTTAGTGTTCATCACTAGGGAGTATCTAGGGATGACATCATCGGACATTTCCTCTTAACTACAGAGAACGTATTTAAACGGACTATTGCCCCTTCTCCTGGCCTTATTCTGAGCTTTATAAGTTCAGTGTTTGTTGTCAAATTATTTTGACAATTATTTCCAAAGTATATATTAATTTCTGAACTGATACATACCAAGAGGAAGTTTAATAGTGTGCTGTTAGACTGAATCCATTGTGTTATTCTTGAATTGGTAAGAGGTTATTCTGAAAGGGAAATGTGCGTGGTGTCTTGCTCCCCTCCCACGCCCGCCCCCCCAAATGTTTGTAAGTCATGCAGATTCTTTTTTAAGAACTCATCGTGTGATGGTTTATTCTTAATTTTGGTAAGTTGGTAAAATAAGATTTTGTTTTTTAATTGAAGAAAACCCACTACTTCTAAGATTGCCCCAGTCATCAGGGCTTGTAAAGAATTTAGTTAGCTCGAATCCATAATTTCTAGTTATAAGAAAATACCATGCTTCCCATTGTTCTTGTTATGTAGGGGATATGAATCAGGCATTCCTTTGCATGTCCCCAGCTCTTTAAACTTGAAGTTGAAAGTATGTTAATAATTTAGCCAAAACATCCTTTTCCTTCTCTCAGTTATGCTTCAGAGTAGAAGGCAGTGAACATATGGTCACACTAAAATAGGGAAGAGAAATGTTCTTTTCTTTTGTATAAAATGTTTGAAGCAGTAGGGTAAGACCTGGACTAGTTTGTGTAGGGGTTGAGTGCAGATGAGGTAGCTCTCCCAGCTCAGTTATGACACTCTTGTTCTTAGCTGGGTTTGAATAGCACAAGTGGCATCTTCTAGGTTGAATAGAGATGTAGGTATAAGAGATTCAGCCTCAGTGGAATTTGTTGCTAGGTGCAAAGTGGCGCACCTCAGTAACTGGGCTGCGGGAAAGTGAGCACTTTATACCATGCCTGCCAAAATGTTGGCTGTCTGGAATTTGGCATCATAAATTCGAATAAAAAGCATTGGAATGCTAAATATAAAATATGTGCTTTTTGTTTATATCTAAACATGGGCTTGCCACCCTTTCCTCCTGAACAAAAGGTACAGCCTTGAATTACAGAAAGAAGCCCTACTATACTTGGGTATGATTAGTATAATAGTGTCAGTACAGATAAAGCTGGTATCTAAACCTCCCAAGTCTCTAATCCCTTTTAAAGTCTCATTTTGGTTTACCTGGATAGGAGAGGACAGAGGTAGGAAAGAATCTCTTTCACTTCTAACTGAAGATGAGGAGAATATAAAGTGAAGAAATTAGGGAATGTTACTAGTAAATACAAATGATTCTTTCATATTGCTTAGAATTCATCTCTCGCCCTTCCTCTTTTCTCAAAAGTTGAGTAAAGATGCAAATTTACTCTCAAGGGTTTCTTGTACTGTCAATTCCATAAGAACCATATAGTGGTCCAGCATGGGTCACTCATACTGAATAACTAGGGACATTTACCTGCGTCAACCTAAAAAACCTTTTTTTTTTTTTTTTACTCTAAGAACCAACTGGAGTAGTTAATAATCCAACACATAACCCTTGAGTTGATTACTGTATGTGTACTTAACAATCCAACACACAATCCTTGAGTTGATTACCATACATTTTTAATGATAAAGATTCACAGATTATAAAAATTACCAAATATTGCCTTACTTAGAAGTGAACAGAGTGCCACTTACCAAGATTGAAATGACTTTTCTGAGGTTAATCCATAGTCATCGAGGATGGAGACCCCTGTGTCTTAATTCATCTTTGTATCCCCAAGGCCTTACGCTTTATTTATTTATTTATTTTTTAAAGATTTTATTTATTTATTTGACAGAAAGATCACAAGTAGGCAGAGAGGCAAGGGGAAGCAGGCTCCCTGCTGAGCAGAAAACCAGACATAGGGCTCCATTCCAGAGCCCTGAGATCATGACCTGAGCTGAAGGCAGAGGCTTAACCCACTGAGCCACCCAGGCGCCCCTAGGCCTTACACTTTACAAGGCCTAGTATATTTGTCGTGAAACTTATGCACAAGGACTTTGTGGGCATATTCACATCTTTTAACAAGAAATTAAAGATGTTTTCCTAGGTTTAGTCTATGTTTATGTCAAAATGGTATACCTTCTCGTTAAGTGACTAGGAAGTAAAATAGCGGTATTGTTACAACTCTATTATTTCTGTGTGCTTAGGTAACACCTTATATAGAGATTGAGAGTTACATTAGGGTATAAAATATTGTATGAAATATTAAGCACTGAAGCAAGGGGAAGTGTTTAAAGTATAGTATTTTTTTTTTTAATCATATTGGTAGTAAAGAATGGAACTGTGCTTAATTTTAGATTGCATACTATAGCACTGTTTTTAAAATTAAAACTATTTTCCTTATTTGGTGTTGAATATTGATTTTTCAGATATTTATATTATAATTTGGGTAGGCATAATTCCATTTTAAGAGTAGATAACCTGTTAGTGATTTAAAATAGTCACAGTCTTGGGGTGCCTGGGTGGTTCTGTGGGTTTAAAGCCTCTGCTTTCGGCTCAGGTCATGGTCCCAGGGTCCTGGGATCGAGCCCTGCATGGGGCTCTCTGCTCAGCAGGGAGCCTGCTTCCTCGCCTCTCTCTGTCTGCTGCTCTGCCTACTTGTGATCTCTCTCTGTCAAATAAATAAATGATATATTAAAAAAAATAGTCACAGTCTTTATTTCAAGTACATTAAGAAGAAGGTTTGTTTAAATGAATAGTTTGAGCATTATTACATGGAATTCAGGATCTAGGGCCAATATTTGATATTATGTAGTATCGTTTCTCTGAGAGTTTTCACATGTATCTTAATTGTCTATTCCATGGTGTATTTATGGAATAAAAAGAGTTTAGGAATTGAATAATTATATCTTAGTTTCTTAATAATCAGACCATACCTCTAGCCACTAAACTGATCTGCCTTTCATAGATAATTTATGCATTATAGATGAGCAGTGTAACAGTATTTTTAATATGCTGCTAATTGGAGAAAACTTGAAGAAATTGCTCTGTCTTATCATTGCTGGAATAAGTATTTTAAAGAACGTATCCTACCCTACACAATAATTGCTTTTTAAAAAAAAAGATTTGATTTATTTATTTGAAAGAGAGAAAGTGAGAGAGAGCATGAAAGGGGAGAAAGTCAGAGGGAGAAGCAGACTCCCTGTGGAGCTGGGAGCTCGATGCAGGGCTCAATCCCGGGACTCTGGGAACGTGACCTGAGCCAAAGGCTGTTGCTTAAACAACTGAGCCACCCAGGTGTCCCTATAATACTGCTTTTTAATGGAATTATCAGATTGTTGTCAGCAAACACAACATTCATGTAAGAATAGAAGAACATAGTTTTTTAGAACTTTGTGCCATTTTCATAATTGGTTCCATCCAGGAAGAAAATAGGTAGGAGAAGGCGCATTGAGCTAGCGACTGTATACATGTCGGGTTACCTGAACAGACTTATTTTAAAGCCATTCACTGAATTCGGCCTACCATGTAAATGGGTTCTTTGGGGAATTAAAAAGAAGAGTTCTTGTATCTGCTGTACTCAGAAACCAGAGAAAAGGCCTCTATACCTTTTGGCTGCTTCCTGCCATTTTCAGAAGTGGCACACTGTTCAGACAGATAGGTACTTGGTGGAGTTGGACAGTTGTGAAGACCACTTCTAGGCTGTGCTATTTCTGGTGAGAGGAGATGTTTGACAGGAAAGGTGCCCCTGTCGAGGTCTGAAAAGGCTGGCAGAGCAAGTTTGGCCCTTAATGTCTCTTCCTTGATTTTAGCAGTTTTTCTGGCAGACAGCAGCACCATCTGCTCATATTAGGATGGGTTCTTAATTGACTGTTCATGCATTCAAAAATTAATATTTATTGAGTGACATATTATGTGCAGTCACAGTGCTAGATGCTGCTCATACCAATGCAGATAGTTTTTGTTCTCACAGTTTTACATAATTTATTTATGGCTGTGCTCTTACCTGCTCAGGAAAGTAGTACCTAGAAAGCTTAGTATAGTAAGGAACAAATGACCACATTAGGTGTGTGTGGAGCACTGCAGTGTATAGATTCCCACAGTTACTTGGCTTAGAAGATAAATTAGAGCCTGCATTATGAATCCTGGTTGGTTGTTGGACTAAGCGAGGAAGCTTTATAAGATTTGGATTTCTGAATGTCATTCCCAGAGATTTTTATTAGTATATGTTTGTGGAAAATTATTTATTTTATCTGTTTGTTTATATTTTTTGGGGGGGGAGAGATAATGGGGGGGCAGTGGAGGGGTGGCATGTATGGGGAGGTGCAGACGGAGAGGGAAAGAAAGATTCCTAAGTGGGTTTCATGCCCAATATAGAGCCAGATGCGGGGCTTTGAGATCATGACCTGAGCCGAACTCGAGAGTTGGATGCTTAACCAACTGAGTCACCTAGGCACCTCATGGAAAATTACTTTAAATTGAAGTTTTAATTAAATAGTTTTAGATTCACTAGAGTAATTAGTGATTTAAAAGAAACCTATTGTTATTTCTTCTGTAAAAAAAATATTACTTTTGAAAAGTAAATTATATTTTTATAATATATACCCAGATTTCTATCTATAAGGTTTTCTTTAAGCATATATTTACATGTTATAGATGGTTGGTGGGTACCATCATATAGTTGCATTGTGATTGCAGTCTTTTTTATAATTTTTTACTTTTTAATTAACATATAATGTTTTATTAGCCCCAGGGGTACAGGTCTGTGAGTCGCCAGGTTTACACACTTCACAGGACTCACCATAGCACATACCTTCCCAAGTGCCCATAACCCCACCACCTTCTCCCTGCCCTGCAACCCTCTGTTTGTTTTGTGAGATCAAGAGTCTCTTAATGGTTTGTCTCCCTCCGGATCCCATCATGTTTCATTTATTCTTTTCCTACCTCCCAAACCCCCCAAGTGTGATTGCAGTCTTATAAATTAAATATTTTTCCAGTTAGGTGCTCATTAAAAAGTAGATTTATAAAATTCTGATTTGTGTTGCCTCTATGTACTGCTTCCCATCTCCACTCATACTCCATCCCACCTTCTAGGTAACAACTATCACTAAAAGTTATATGATTCTATGAAGTACCCTATCCTAGTTTATAGGTTAATACACAGGAAATACTGAGTATGAAAATATTAGAATACCTGACCAATTAATTACACTGATCAAAATTGAGAATAGAAAAATTTTATAAGACATGTAGGAGTGTATGCATATATAGATAATAAAACTATGTATTTTAGTTATATTTTTAAACAAGGAGGAGAAAAGTTATGTGAAGAAACTGTTAACCTTGAAGAGAGAAACTTTTTTCAGGGTATCCTTTTGCAGATTAATTCTTGATAGAGTTCTGATTGAAGCTTGGAAAGTTAGGACTTCTTTAAAGAGGGCTGTTATATATATTCTAGGAATAAGATCACCCATTTTCCCCTCTTGTTAGGTTCTAATAATATTTATTAAGTAGTATAATGGGAGAAGCTGGGAGACTGGATGCTGCAGCTATTTAATATGCAAAAAAAGAGGATTATTAAGTGAGAAGCTTGGTAAGATGCCCAAATCCTTGCTTTGAAATGGCACTGGGTAATTTCAAAGCAAGCAAGCTGACTCTCCAGCTGCTTTGCTAAGGTCTTAGTGGAGAGTTTTGTGAAGTGAAGTGATAAATATAAAATATTTGTGTAATGTAGGCTTCTATTATTAGAAATGTGACTGAGGTTTTCTTCTTGTTTTGTTTTTAATTCATAGGGAGAATGATGAATCAGTCAAAGAAGATAAATCTGAATTAAAAGAAAAATCTTCAGGAAATAAGAAGGCTAATAGATTTCATCCTTATTCAAAAGACAAGAATTCAGGCACTGGAGAAAAGAAGGGTCCAAATCGAAACAGAGTTTTCATTAGCAACATTCCATATGACATGAAATGGCAAGCTATTAAAGATCTAATGAGAGAAAAAGGTAACCATCCCTGATAAACCCACTGTTGGATAATCTTCATATAGAAAGGGGAGGGAACTAAGCAAACATTTTTTATTCCCCTGAGCCACACAGACTCAAAAAATTGAATTTTGTTTATTTCTTGACATGAATTCTTTTCCTCCTCTTTCACCTGACATGATTTCATTACAAAGTCTTATGGATAAATGAAGTTCTTTTTTTTTTCCCATTTTAGTGGTATAGTAGTGAGCCAGCATATGCATGCCACCAAGAATTTTGTTAAAGTGATTGCTTTGTCTAGTTGAAGTTTTTATAGATTTTTAAAGGACTATTGCATTAGTTAAGCAATACATTTAGCGTGTTAAAGTATGAATAATAAGGTCTGATTATTTTTTTCCAAACGCTGTTTTGTTATTATCTTGGTGGAGTCTGGAATCTGGCTGTGGAGTTCATTTTGTTTGCATTGTCATGAATGCCATGATGCTGTCTCTGCAGTTCTATATTAAAATTGCGTTACTGCTGTTGCAGTTTTGTTTTTAGAAAAACCTGAAAACCTTCATTTTATATACATGGTTGGTTTTGGGGAAAAATAATTTTAATATTTGATCTTGTAAAAGTTAGCTTTGTTATCTCTTGAAAAATTGAGTTTCAACAGTCCTGCAAATTATGTACTTGGCTTTGAGGCTGATCTCTTCTAATAAATAAAAAAAAATTTGCCTTGGTGTATCTGTTGTAAGGTGACAACTATTTGATTGGTTTTATTCATTGACTTTATTTAGAAAGTGTGTGGCTTGCTGTGAAGCATGACTTGTAAATTTAGTTTACTGATGGCAAATATGATTGAAGACATTCAGGTAGAAAGTCACCTTAAAACAGCTGTTGTGTGTAGGCGACCAAAGTTATTTGAAAAGTGTTAATGTTGATGTTTTTAATATGATAGGCTAAGGGACCATTTGTATGTATATGTGCATTTGTTCACCAACTATATCATGCTGGCCAAAATATGATCTGTAGTATGAATTAGGTTAATATGGTTGTTAGCTTTTTTTAGAGAACGTGGATGATGTACATTTCAGAAAATTAGTTAAATTTACATAGCCATTGATAGGAGGTATGTTGGTCTGGTTTTGATTGTTGGTGAATAATAGGTGCTTTTCTGTAGAGTTGTGCACAGGTGTGCAGTAAAGCAAGATATTGGTGTTTAAATGTATTGTTTCTTGGTATCTTCCTTTTGTATGTCTTATGTAGTTGGTGAGGTTACATACGTGGAGCTCTTTAAGGATGCGGAAGGAAAATCAAGGGTAAGTGCTGTGGGCAATAATCTGCTTGAGGTTTAAAAGTTCCTCAGCAGTTTACTTTTTTGTATAATATTTGTACCAGTTTTTGGAAACTTAAGTTTCATTTTGTTTTACTTTATTATGCAAGATTGTGCTAGCAGCTCTGACACTTATCCAGACCAAACTAGCTGCCTGGAAGGGATGGGTTTCATAAAGGGCATTCACTTTCCTAATGCTCTAAGGTAATGCTTTTTCTTAGCCAACAGATTTTAATACAGGATTTTTTTTTGTTGTGTTTTGATGTCTTCAAGGATATTTTAAAAGTTACTGAATTGATCATTTTCCCTAAGAGTTCTATGAGAAGCCCATAGCTTAAAGGTGTTAATTCAGAATGTAGGTTTGAAACTTATATTGAAGAACGTAATTTGGTAGCCTGCAAGACTATGTTAATAGGCAGGGCTCTGACCAATTGGTATGAGTGACTTTGATGATTAAATTGACATAGAAGGAATTGGTTGATAGTCGTACTATTTTGATTTTTAGCAACAAGAAAGCAATACACAGAAGAATACAATGGAAAGCTTTTAAAAGTGTTAAATTATATTGCAAAAACCAGTTGGTGCATGAGAAAAGCTTTGTCATCACATTCAAATGGCACTTCAAACAGTATAATGACAAATAATTATTTTAAAATGATTCTATGAATTTGTTTCTTTAGCATAGGTGATTTTCTTTTACATACTTAAACTGGATGCTGTTAAATTGTATGCAGCCAGTTTTCTGTAATAAAGAACTTAGTTAAAAATGCAGTTATTTCCTATTTTGATTTTAATTGAAAGGTATACATAAAATTTGTACATCCTACATCTTTTGAAAATATTCTTAACAATAGAAGAATAGATATGTTGAAACCTTCAATTATTTCCTTCAGTTACTTTTGATTGAATTTGTGCAATGACATTACTTAGTTTTAATTTAAAGAAGAGGCCTCTAAAAGTAAATATTTGCTTTAAGATTGTTAAATGCTAGATTTTATCGTCTGAAATATAGATTTAAACATTGACAGGAAATTTGTGGTACTTGCCTATTATGTTCTGGAAGTGTAAAAGACAATGTAATTATTGATTGCTTTTAATGGACTTAAATATTAGAGTCTGCCATTAACTTCATCTACTGATCTAAAACTTTTTTTCTTTTGCATATATTGACCAATCTACCTGGATATATAGGGTTGTGGGTAAGAATTTTTTTTTTTAAAGTATCTTAAGTCAAATTTAAACTTCTGATTGGAAAGAAGTAAACTTAGTAAATAAACATTTCCTATAAATTTTTCCTCCTTAAGTGTGGTTGAATTCAAAGATGAAGAATTCGTAAAGAAAGCACTAGAAACTATGAACAAATATGATCTTAGTGGAAGACCCCTGAATATTAAAGAGGTAAGATTTCTTATATTTGGAATAATTTAAACTTTTGAATATAAGGACATGTTTTCTTTGATTTTCATCTTTGGGGATGTATTTCTCTGACTACAACTTTTTTTTTTTTTTTTTTTAAGCATAGATGCTTATCAAAAGCATTATATATTTGATGATAGTTTTGCCTGTACATGGTTTCCTATTTGTCTTTAAGCACTTTTATGTATTTGATTTGTTGTAGGTTATTATAAGCAGAGGTATATGATAAAAAAACTTTCAGATATTTCAAGATGGCAAACTTTAGTTGCTGACTTTATTTGGTATAGACATTTTCAATTTTTAGACTGTGTTGCTTAATTTGAGAAATGTAACAGATATTCTTACAGTTAATAATAAAAGGTTGCTTAATAATGCAAATACCTAATGGCTTTGAGTAAGATTAATACTCACTTTTAATTAAAATTACCCTGAAACTGCACCAGATTAAAATTTAAGAAAACTTATGAATCTATTAGTGAAATTTGTAACTGGAACTTGGAAACCCGTAAAGTGGAGGTATTCCCTTTGTACTATAGGAACTGTAGTAGCATGAATCTGTTGAAAAAAGAATGATCAGAAGATAGATAAAAAACTATTTACACTTAGGTGTAATTGACCTTGGTAATGATTAGCTTGAATAGAAGTCATTCTCATATCTTCCTTTAGTTCATATTGTTACTCTTATCTGAATAGTTTGATCACAGACGAGTATCTATTTTTACTAAAATCTGTATTATAAATAATTGAGAATATACTTTAGGACCCTGAATAGTCTCCACCAGCAAGGTTGCAAGTCATTGGAGTAGAGCATTACTGTTGGTCACAGTTTAATTTGGTATAGTAATGATTTGAGTCCCAACTCCATCACTTTCTAACTCTGTGACTAGGCATGTTACTTATACTCTAAACCTCAGTAGTTATAATAGCACTACTGATAGTATTCACCTAATAGGGTTTTTATGAGGATTAAATGAGATAACATGGTAAAGAAGTCAGGATTTGGTATCAGATAATCTGTGACTTAGGGCAAATTACTTACCTTTAATTACTTAACAAATTCCCCAACTTTAATTACTCTCTATTTCTTTGTTTCCTTATCACTAAAATGGGAATAATATTAGAAGCTATCTGATGATTTTACAAGGACTCAGTTCATATATGTAAAGCATTTGATAAATGTTAGCTACTATGATTGTGATGTTATTATATAAAGCACTTAGCATGGTAGTTAAAATATGAAATAACTACATAGTAAATGTTAGCTGTAATAATAATTGTTACTTCTGTCTGAGGTGAGAATGTTACTGGTTGTTGATTTCTTGATCCTTAAGTATGAGGTGTTAATAGCTTAAAATGAAAGGCTGTGCCACCAAAAAATACAGGTATGCCAAATCCCTTTATTGGAGTCAGCTTCAGAATTCTTCTACTTCTGTTTGAGTCTGGGGGTTATTTCATTCTTTATTTCTTTGTTTATTTTTCTTTTTTATTAAGATTTTATTTATTTGAGAGGGAAAGAGAATGAGAGAGAGAGAGAACTATAGAGAGAGAGCATGAGAAGGGGGAGGGTCCGAGGGAGAAGTAGACTCCCTGCCCAACAGGGACTCCAGGGACTCCTGGGACTCCAGGGTCATGACCTGAGCTGAAGGCAGTCACGTAACCAACTGAGCCACCCAGGCGCCCTCTTTTTCTTTTTTAATATTTTGACTGGGAAGTGGAGAATTAGTAGGGAAACTACTATTGTAGTTTATGCCAACCATTTATTTGGTGGTTTTTATGCTAAAGGCCAAGTCCATGTTGTTTGTGTTACCTTTTTAGCACATCGTAGATTCTTAGTAATATTTCAGAGACCCTAGTATAGAGTTAATGTGATCCAAATTGATGTAGGATACTTGCATTTTAAACTTTTTTAAGAGAGAAAAATAACCGAGTTTGGCCTAGCTAAGTGAAGAGGTATTCTTCATTCCTGAGCTCAGGAAGGAAAAATATATTGCCGGTATTCCTTCCCAGATATTAGAATTGTGTTTTTTTCATTATATTAAATGGGACTTAGTAGCAGTTATAAGCTTATTGGCCCTCTAATAGCAATAGCTGGTAGTGACTGGCAGGCTCTCATCCAAGGGGAAAGAGGAATAAAAACCATGTTTTATAGTGGTTAATTTGTTTTAGATAAATTGTATTTTATTTTATTTTTTTTTAAAGATTTTATTTATTTGACACAGAGAGAGAGATTGCAAGTAGGCAGAGAGGCAGAGAGAGGGGAAAGCAGGCTCCCCACTGCTCAGAGAGCCCAATGCAGGGCTCGATCCCAGGACCCTGAGATCATGACCTGAGCCAAAGGCAGAGGCTTAACCCACTGAGCCACCCAGGTGCCCCGATAAATTGTATTTTATATATGTTTTATGTATTTTATGTGTATGTATATATTTTTGTATATACACATTTATATACATGTTAAATATAAAAAGACATATAGGAATATGCTTTATTATCGTTAAGATGTTAAGGACAATCAACCTATCTTAATGGTTTATGAAGCAACCTCTCCTACCCCTCCTCTTCTCCCCATAGGTAACCACTATCCTAAATTTTGCATTTGTAAAAGTTTTGAAGCTTTAATTAGATGTGAAGCATTATTAACTTAAAAATTTTATAGCATTTTCCAAAACATTTATTTCTTTACGTTTGTATTTTTATTACTTCATGGTGAAGAAATACTTTGGAAGCTGGTGTACCTTTTTACTTGCATTTACTTTTTTACCTTCTATTCTTCCAGCCTTCCTAGAGAATTTCTTAAGGTTATCCAATTTTCTTTTTATTAGTATCCCCAAAATGAGACCAGCAGAGTAGCATTGATTGGTTACATTTATCATTATCATTTGGTATTTGGAGATGAGAGTGTACAGTGTGTTAATGTGGATTTTTTTGTTTTTTGCATTCTACCTAGTGAGATATGAGTGAGAAGTACATTGAAACTCACTTTTTTAGTTTTATTTAAAATAGACTATCTCGGGGTGCCAGGGTGGCTGGCTCAGTGGGTTAAAGCCTCTGCCTTCGGCCAGGTCATGATCCCAGGGTCTTGGGATCTAGCCCCGCATCGGGCTCTCTGCTCAGCGGAGAGCCTGCTTCCTCCTTTCTCCCTGCCTGCCTCTCTGACTACTTGTGCTCTCTCTATCAAATAAATAAATAAAATCTTAAAAAAAAAAAAAAAGGTAGACTATTTCTCTTATAAAGTTAATGAACTTATTAATAAAAAGCAATGTTTGGCATCATTCTTTACTTGGAACACTTAGCCATTCTTTATCACTCCCTGGCCCCCTTCATCTCTGGTAAAATTGTCAGGTCATAAACATTGTTGAGGAAGGAAAAAGGTTGGAAATTGGGTAATTATATTTTGTTTAGGAATGAAATTTATACATTATAATAGTTCCCCTTTACTCCAATATTCCTGGGTTTTATAACAGTCTGTTCCGCTGTTGAAAAGCTTTGAATTAGTCTCATTTGGCATTGCTTTGGGCATCTGGTGGTGAGAATTCACCATTGCCGCATTTTGGAAAGAAAAGAGTCAACAGTAAGTATTTTTTCCTCTTTGAGTTATGCATATTTGTGTTTTCTGTCATATATTTGTACACTAATATAGGGCAAAATTAAACTAATTTCAAGTTCTTAAGTGACTTTAGTGATTGGAAAGAGGTATTTAATTGACACCCCTGGAGACTGAAATCTTTTGTCTGTCCACAGGTTTTTATGGGACTGAATTCCCTGGATAAGAAAAACTCACTCTTCAAGAGGGCCAATAATTTGAGCCAGTTGGGATAGCTATTGTAGAATTTGAAGTTGTTATTTTAATGGTACAGATTTACTGATGTATCTAGTGGTATTTAACATTCAATGTGTGTTATAGGATCCTGATGGAGAAAATGCTCGTAGGGCATTGCAACGAACAGGAGGATCATTTCCAGGAGGACATGTACCCGATATGGGATCGGGGTTGATGAATTTACCACCTTCCATTCTCAATAATCCAAACATTCCTCCTGAGGTTATCAGTAATTTGCAGGCTGGTAGACTTGGTTCCACAATTTTTGTTGCTAATGTAAGTTTAAGTTTTAGTCTAAAATTTTGTCATTCAGGTGTTTAATTCTTAATCATGAGATTTTTAAATTAGATGAATGGGTTGTAGGTTTATAGAACATTTTGCTTATTTTTAACTAAAGTAAGCGAAACAGTAGTGGTAAACTCGAACCCAATTTAAGTCTATATATATAAGATTAGGGTGTAAGTATGAGTAGGATTCTTTTAAAAGAGAACTGTGGAATTTATAAATACCTAAGCAGTTCTTGAAAATGTTTACTTGCATTACATTGTGATTTTGTTCATATTGGGAAATGGATTTCTTTCTTTAGCTTTGTTATTTGATATTTCTGAATGTGCACGTTGTAGTTGGTTTGTCATTTGTTTGAAGCTCTTGAAAGTCAGTGATATCAACAATACTTTCCAAAGACTGAATTTCTCCGTAAAAATAGATGTGAAAGTTTTAAATGTATAAAACAGGGTTGGGCAGTTGAGAGACCATTTTGGGAATAAAAAATAATTAAGGATAAGGAACAATGTGGATGTAGCTTAATTGATTTTAAACAACTTAAGATGTTTTTATTTGAATATTCTTGATGTACTGTCTAATAAGAAGTATACTTCTTTGTAGTTTTGACAGTTTAGAAAAGATATGTTTGTATTATTTATAAATGGGAAGAAGGGTTTATTAGGTATGTAACTTTATATAATTTTATGTTAAGCTTGACTTCAAAGTTGGTTGGAAGAAGCTAAAGGAGGTGTTCAGCATAGCTGGAACTGTAAAGCGGGCAGATATTAAAGAAGACAAAGATGGCAAGAGCAGAGGAATGGGCACAGTCACTTTTGAACAAGCAATTGAAGCAGTTCAAGCAATTTGTATCCTGATTTACACTTTAGCATTATTTAATAAGGTTGAAGAAGTTTGATACTATTTTGTGGGGGTTGTGGAATTTAAGGTTGCTTGGCTTAGAAATGTGTATTAGACTTTAGTCTCCAGCACATAAAACCTTTACTATGTCCAAGTACTAAAGTCACTCTTAAAACTTGAATTAGCCATATTGTATAGCCTGGTAATGAACTTTTTTCTACTTTCTTTTCCTACCACAACTAATTGTATGTATATCTGCTGTTGACAGTTAATGTAATCCATTGTACATTAATGCAATTGCTTTAAATGAAGCCTTGTTAATTTTCTTTTTTCAGTAGTTGGATTAGATTGTATTTTATTTATAAAGTAAAACTGTAAAGCAAAGAATTAAAGATTTTTCTTTGAGTATATGGAAGGGACTAATACAGATAAGTACAATAGTAAAGATGTTGATTAAAATTTTAGGGTTAGTCCGACTCTTAACTCTAAGATTATTAAAAATGTGTGTTCAAGTATAACTTTATAGTCTTAACTGAGTTTCCTTGACTGAACCAACAGCTATGTTCAATGGGCAGTTTTTGTTTGATAGACCTATGCATGTGAAAATGGTGAGTTCCTATATATCACTTCAACCCTCCAACCTCTTCAAATCTTTATCTGCTCTCCTCTGCATTATAGATCCTTTCAGTTATGAATTAACCGTACAATAAACTTTTTTTGCAATTAGGATGACAAGTCTGTCCCTCATGAAGACTACCGTTCACATGATAGTAAAACACCACAGTTACCACGTAAGTAAAAGTTATTATTAGAAACAGTGCAGACTGTTTTGTTTTTCAATTTTATTATATGCTAAGCAAAACTCTTTATACAAACAAAATAAAATTACTCCTGTTGTTATCACAGGTCATATTGTTTTAGATGAGTTTTCTTTAAAGTAAAATTTTACAGATAAAATTGAGACTCCCCCTCTTTCCTGACCACCAGATACCATATCAAGAGGAAACAACTTAAGGAATATAGTGTTTATCATTTAGGCTTTAGTCATTTGGCTACGCATTTATACATCCATAAACACTCCATGAAATTGTTTTGCTGGATAAAAATTTGGGGTGAGTGATACCATATTGTATATATTATTCTGAAACTTGCTGTTTTAGGTTTAATATTGTTTTGAGATGCATTTATAGTGATAGATGTCGCTCTAATTCCTTCATTTTAACTTGCCAATACCGCATTTTATATGTATTTCTGTGTTTTAGGTTATATGCGTTTTCGGCCATTAGAAACAGTACTAAGTTGGGGAGTATTTATTCTTTTTTTGTTAGAATAATCTGTTCTCGCACTGTTTATGAGAAATTACTTGTAAATACTGTCTGGCCTTCCTCTATTATTTGGGGGAAGACTTGAACTAATGATTGTTCATATTTCCTATTGCTTCTTGAGTCAGTATTGGTCATTTCTATTTTTCTAAGATTTTTATAATTTTTGTTCATTTTCACATTTACTGGCATAAAATAGTCTCTTAAATTTCTGCTACATCTATAGTTCTTCGCTCTGATAAATTTCAAAGGTTTGCAATTTCTCTTTTTTCTTGGTCAGTTTTGCTTAGATTTTTCAGTTTTATTACAATAAGTGCTTTTAAAGAAGTGAATTTCATTTTTGTATCTTAATTTCTGCTCTTTGCTTTAATATTTTCTTCTATCTCTTTGGGTTCAGTCTCTTATTTTGTCCAAATTCCTTAAGTTGAATGTTTACTTCACTAATTTTGCAGCCTCTCTCTTCTAGTAAAAGTAGTTACAACTATTAAATTCAGCTGTTGTATGCAGGTTTTAGTATGGAGTATTTTTATTGTGATTTAGTTTTTATTAAATTACTATTATGATTTTTTCTTAAGTCATCTTTTTTGAGTTTCTAAATGTATGGGGCTTTTTCTTATTAATTTTTAACTTAACAGTGTGGCCAAAGAAGATATGATTGTGATTCTTGGAATTGATTTGGACTTTGCATTATGGTAGCTTAATATATGGCACTTTTTAATATATATTCCAGGTGTGCTTGGTGAGTGCAGTATTCTGTATATGTCCATTAAACAAGTTTATTAATCATTTACATTTTCTTATGTCTCTACTAATAGTAATGTCTGTTTGTGCTGTCAATTACTAAGAGTTGTATGTGGTAAAATTTCCCACTAGAATGTTGGATTTGTCTTCTTTTTTCTTGTTTTTGCTTTAAATATTTTGAAACTAAATTAGTAGCTACATCCAAGTTTAGAACTGATATAGTTTCCCAATGAATCAAAATTTTATCATTTTATTTTATTTTTTAATTTAATTTTTTTCAGTGTAAAATTTTATCATTTTAAAGTGATTTTTTATCTTTAGTAGCTAAGTCTTATTTAATATTAATGTAGATACAAGAGCTTTGTTTTATTTATTCACATTTATTGATTTATTTGGATTAATGCCCATTATCTTATTTTTCTCCCATCTTGCTTTCTCATCTAGTAATTATCCTGGATTTTTAATATAGCAATACAAAGTCTGAAGTTAATATAATTATTTGTTTACTCAATAATAGAGTGTCCTTTGAATGTTTTAGTTCTGATCACTCCTCTACTGAATTATGTGTTATTATTGCTCATTGTCTTAGTTGTATATATTTTTTTTCAGTCCCACAAATTAGACATTACTATTACTTACCTTTTTTTTTTTAACCGTACCTTTCTCTGCTTTTACAGACCCTGGCACTAATTTTTTTTTCCCCCTGAAAGATATATTTTAAAAACTCTTTCAATGAGGATCTGTTGTTAGTAAATTGTCTTAATTTTGGATACTCTATAAATGTCTTCAAAGATAGTTTTATTGGTTTGCAGTTTAAGATTGATAGTTATTTTGTCTCAGCACTTTGAAAATATCCCAGTCTTTTGGCTTCCATTGTTGTTATTTTAAGCCAGCTATCAGTTGAAATGTCCTTTCTTTTTGGGTAATCTTTGTTCTTCATGTAGCTGATTTTAAGATATTTGTCTTTGGTATATAGTTTTCTACAGTGTCGGTATGAATTACTTCTTATTGGGCTTTCACAATATGAGAATTCAAGGTTTGTTTTGTAATTTCTGGAAAATTCTCAGCTCATGTGTCTTTGAACATTGTCTTTTCTCTCTTTATAAGATAAGGGCAGTCTTTTTCTGCCTCAACCAAATTTATCACTTACTACTTTTCGTCTTTCAAGATCCTGCCTGGCTTTCTGCAGGGGACTTCTGGTTTACTTTCCACTATTAGTACTCTTCTATTTATTTATATATAAAAAAAAAATCCTCTGTTGTATTCAGACTTCTTCTCTATCTGTTTTTTTGAGATTTACATTTTTATATATTCTTCTTTCTTGAGATATAATATGAATTCATAGACTTTTTTTTTTTTAAAGATTTTATTTATTTATTTGACAGACAGATCACAAGTTGGCAGAGAGTCAGGCAGAGCAAGAGGGGGAAGCAGGCTCCCTGCTGAGCAGAAAGCCCGATGGGGGCTTGATCCCAAGACCCTGAGACCATGACCTGAGCTGAAGGCAGAGGCTTTAACCCACTGAGCCACCCAGGCACCCTGAATTCATAGACTTTAACAGAATCAGTTTGTTATTCTAGTTAATCATTATTAATGTCCTCATTTTTCCCTTCTCTTCTTTTGCTCAAATTATTGTAACTTTGTCGGGTGGGAGCCTTCTCATTTCCTGTGCTGCTGATACTCTTACTTTTGGTAAAAGCATGATTTCCCAGATCTGGGAAGGTTTTGTTTTTTGGTGGGTTTTTTGTTTTTGTTTTTGTTTTTTTTTGGTCCCAGAGACATGGGATTGGCCTAGTTTCACGTAGTCCTGGTTCCTTTTAGTAAAGAATGATATTAGAGATGAAAATATGAGTTTTAAGCACAGACATGAGCATTACTGATAGTCAAATGTGCTATTGCTTTTAGTTAGACCATTATTGGGAACTGAGTTGAAAAATATTTCTCTTACCAGATCACATTAATCTTTCCAACTTAACACAACATGCTTCTGTATGTATTGAAAAATATGTATTGGAAAACTATATATGGTATATAATTTTCTCAGCCTCTACCATTTAATTGCTACATTGCTAGCAAGAACTTTAAAGTCATACTCAGATTTAGTAGAATAAAATAGTTCCCACTCAAATATTAAGTCTTTAAGGTCATCAATTAACTTCTTAAAATCTATTTTCAACAAATTTAATTAGTTTAAGAGAGGTAGTAAAAAGAATACTGGATTTAGAGACAGAAAACTTAAATTCTAGTTCTAGCTCAATTACATAGCTAAAATGGCATTATACAAATAACTAAAGGTTTCAAACATTTCCTCCTTTATGGAAAATAGATGTGAAAACACTTAAGGTTTCCATATAAATGTCAATAAATATGTCATGGACAAAACCAAGTAATGTAATGTTTGTTATATTCAGTATTATGTTATCATTGTTGTTGACTTTAGTTTGATGTAATGCATCTTAAATGTAATTCTTCTATTTTAAGTGGTTCTACAAATTTGAGCAACTTCTCATTCAGATATATATACCATTTTTAAGGTATATAATGTTATTCAAAATCCTCTTGGTATTTCATTAGTCCTTTTCAGTATGTCTTGAACCTAGGATATAAGATGGGGCTGCTTCATAAAACACTTCTCATTAATAAATGGTATTATAGTGACGCTTCAGTGTGCTGCATTCTGATAAAAAGAAGAACCAGCGCTCTTATTTGCAAATTTGCAAAGTTTTGGAAGTATTACTACAGGCATCTAGCTTTAAAACATTTACTTAGTGCCAGTTAGTTAATTATATATGGGTTAGTAATATTCTTATTTATGTTTTAGGTGGTCTTGGAGGCATTGGAATGGGACTTGGTCCAGGTGGACAGCCTATTAGTGCCAGCCAGTTGAACATAGGTGGTGTAATGGGAAATTTAGGTCCAAGTGGTGAGTATTCTCACATTCTTATTTCTTTTTAAATGGTACATTTGGTATATTACAAAGCTTACATTTACTAGTTTGTAATAATGTTCAAAGGACTCTGTTTTATAGTTGAGCATTTAGGATGTCATTCAGTTTGATAAAAGAATGAAACCTTGAGAGCAGAGAACATGAAAAAGGCTGAGCAGAGGTCAGTCAGGTTCCTCTGGGGCCAGTTGTGTTGTAGCTAGCCTTTTAGCACTTTGGATTTTAAAATGTCTGTAAGGCAGAAGGAGAATGTTTAAATGTAGTGCTTTGTGTATCATGGTTATACAATATTTGTATATGACTGAAATGCTTCCCTATTATAAGCAGGTTAAATTGAAATGTATAGCTGGGACGGTAGCTCTTCAAATAGCTGTTTGGCTCTTCACCTGGACTAATTTATAGTTTGTCTTTGAAGATTAGTTTTTACACTTTGTGATTTCAGAATTCTTTTACTCTCAAAATTTGTTGAGGGGATCTCAAAGTGCTTTTGTTTATGTAGTTATGTTTTGTTTTGTTTATGTAGTTATGTAGTTATGTTTGTCAGTATTTACTGTATTAGAAATTAAAACTTAGAAATTTAAAACTACTTATGTATTTAAGATAACAATAATAAACTTGTGTTAACATAAGTATAATTTTTAAGAAGCTAAGTTGTATTTTCCAATACAAAAAAAAATAGAAGAGTGGCATTGTTTTACCTTTTTGTACATCTCTTTAATGTTTGGCTTAATGCAAGACAGCCATGTTCTTGTGTCTACTTCTGCATTTAGTTTGTTACAGTATCAAACATCATGTAGTTTCTGGGAAATTGCATCTTATATTCATGAGAGAATGAGAGTAAAACAGTCAAATAATATCTTAATGTTATGTGATGAATGAAATAATTTTGACTTATTAGACCCAGACCGTACTTTGAGAACTGTGTCTTAATTGATGGACTAATAAATGCTATCAGATTCCTGTTTTTGCTGAGATGCTATAGTTAAACTTTTAAATTATTAGGGTAGCTACAGAAATCATTCTGACCCAAAGAGATAGAAACTTTGTCCCTTACTCTTAGGCCCTCTGCCCTCCTAAATACATGCTTTTTTATTCTTAGTTTTTTTTGCTTCCTTAGCTGCCATGTAAGGAGTCCTTACTTTCTAACGTGATCTCTAAATCTGTTGTGGTGATATTTGTGTTTGTGTGTGCGTGTATTGAAAAAAAGGGAGAGTGATTACCTGGTCCTAGATATTCTCTGCTTGAATATGAGTGTGACCAGTGAATTTTGTTTTTTCATTCAATAAATATTCATAGAGGCCTTTTTGAAGACTCATGATTAGATAGCTGATGTGGCATAGCACGCATGCCACCTGTGTTCTGCTGCTTCTCTAGCATTCCATCATGACTAGACTAGTGGTATCTTTTGCTGTATTGCATTATGTCATTCTTTAGTCATAAAAATAAGATTGACTGAACGTACATACTGTGTATTTTATTTGAGGTATGGGAATGGATGGTCCAGGTTTTGGAGGAATGAATAGAATTGGAGGAGGTACGTATAAGCATTTGTTTTTTGTATGTACCTATCACCATTTTTAGTAAATTAGAAGCTGTGTTGAGAATTCCAAGGAAAAAAAAGTCATGGTTTATTGTTGGCTCACACCTAAAGACTGCTAGCAGAGATTGAGCCTGGTACATACTTAAGGGATATGGAAATGGATGTGTTAAGAAGCCTCTTGGACAAGGTAGGGTGGATGAAGAGCTTACTGATGAAACTCAGCATTTACAAAATGTACCTTTCAGGTCTCTAACTGACAGTCGGATCTCAAAATTAATCTTTATTCCATAGGAATTGGGTTTGGTGGTCTGGAAGCAATGAATAGCATGGGAGGATTTGGAGGAGTTGGCCGAATGGGAGGTAGGTAAATGTAGGAATGGGTACTGTAGAGGTCTTCGGAGGGCATATGGGCATAGGGAATAGAGACAGGCATGACGGGACTGGGATATATGGTATGTGAGGTAAGTTGGTAAATCAGAGACTTTTTTGTATTTGTGATTTTGCTGTCTTTTCAGTTTAGTTTCAAAATTTTCCTAAATAGATTACTGTGTACTGATGCATTTGAAAAAGGGTTAATTTGTTGCATAATCATTTCAGAGCTATACCGTGGTGCGATGACTAGTAGCATGGAGAGAGATTTTGGACGTGGTGATATTGGAATAAATCGAGGCTTTGGAGATTCCTTTGGTAGACTTGGTAGGGTTGGCTGCATATTTCTCTTTTTCTTTTTGCAGGTCATATTTTTCAAAGTCTGTTTTCCTTTTATTGTGAATAGTTGGAAATTTATAATGTTTCACGTAATTTATTACTTGATGAAGAACACTTTAGGTATTTTAATGTACTCTCTTGCTATTTCAGTATGTTATGTATTTGAATCCTATTTCTAGAAGACATACAGTTTTTTGGTTACTGTACATCTGAAAGCATAGTACCTTGGGAATTTTAAAATATGATTATTCAAATTAATTAGTATATTATCTTTCCATCCTTGTTTAGGCAGTGCAATGATTGCAGGAAGAATAGGAGCTTCTAACATGGGTCCAGTAGGATCTGGAATAAGTAGGTTTAAATTTTACTAGAATTTATTCAGTAATATTTGAGTGCTTGCAAAAGACTTTGCAAGAGTAGTTATTGTAGTATAGTAATACTTTGTTCTTATGTGTTAATATGTCTTGTCATAATTTAGAGAAATTTTAATATTTACTGAGCTTTTCTGTTTGATCACTGTTTGAAATTTATAAACTAACTTTGAATTTTACTTCTTTGACATTTCTAAACTAACACCAGAGTATGTGTTAATTGTCAGCTAATCCAAGAAGCTCCATTCCAACTAAGGAATCTCGGGATTTCTGTGATCACATGTCAGGAGCAACTTTTGCTTTAGCACCAACTTTGTTTCCTTGCCTATTGTCTACAGCTGCTGGTTGGTGACTAACTTATTTCATCTGTGAACATCTTGTGTCTTTTGGTAGATGCAGGTGAATCGCCCTAGTTATAACACCTCTAGAGACTTCCTGAGGTTGAAGGCTAAGGTTGAAAGAGATGCTTATTTCCTCTCCTCTTAAACTTTTCCTGTGATAGAATCAAGAGTAGTTGCAACACTGGGGAATGCCTCATATCTTCCATCTGTTTCCACTACTACATTTGAGGCCTTATATTAAGTCTTAAGACATTGCTCAGTTTTTGATCTCTGTTGCTTACTGAGCCATGTCTTTGTGAGCTCTCCATACTTAACTGAATTCCTTTCATTGATTGAAATCTCACAAATAGGAAATATAGCCCACTTGAACTTTTGTAAAATCCTGTCAGCTAAAGATATTTACCTCCATTGTACCTTGCTTCTCGTTCTCTTTCATCATTTTTTTTAGCCTTGGTCATCTTCCCATTAATCGTAACTTCCCTACCTTCCTTTTTCACCTCAGTGGTCATACTTCTGTTTCCCTAGCTTTATATTTGTTATTCATAGAAAGTCAATTTGAAGGTGATGTTAATTTTTAGAATTTCTATGTATGAGGATATTAAGTACAAGAAAAAAAGATGAATTTTGAGGATGAATAGGGTTGGAATTAATTAAAGGGGACTCAGTGCATAAGAATGAATTGGGTATGCACTGTGAGTTAAATTCTCAAGCTCTGGCCAAAGGCATATGATTCCATTTTTTGTTATCTCCTTAAGATCTATATAATATTGAGATTAAAAGTTAGGTTTTTCTGTGGTTATTACATATTGAATTGATATGAAAAAGAAATTGCATGTAAAACAGAAGATACTGAGTGAAAAGAATATTATATGGGAGAGTATGATGAGATCAACAGTTAATGCGTTGGAGTTGTAATAATTTGAATTCACTTCATGTATCTTTGTTCTTGCATTTATTAAACATGGTATTAAAAAAATGATAAAAAAAATCACATTCCATTAATGGATCAAATAATTGGCAGAGAATTTATATAACTTATATCATGTATTTTATGATCAGAATATAATTTTATAGAAGTATATATGTATGATGTATTTGTGTAGTGGCTAGAATGAGATTCAGTTAGGCATTAACAGTCAATTAAATGAATGTACATCAAATTATATTCTGCTTCTTGGAAGATTTTTCTGTTGTATATATGAAAATGATTTTATGTTTATATAGGATCTAATTATATAAATGAATTAATTTTTCTCTCCCTTTCTTTCTCAAAAATGATTCTCTCCCTCCTCTTTTTCCTCTTCTTTCTCCTTTTTCTTCTGTTTTTAAAACAAAAACACCCAAATTCCCAAATCACCCCCCTTCCCTTCTTGAAATCTAGGTGGTGGCATGGGTGGCATGAACAGTGTGACTGGAGGAATGGGGATGGGACTGGACCGGATGAGCTCCAGCTTTGATAGAATGGGACCAGGTATAGGAGCCATACTGGAAAGGAGCATCGATATGGATCGAGGATTTCTATCTGGTCCAATGGGAAGCGGAATAAGAGAAAGAATAGGCTCCAAAGGCAACCAGATATTTGTCAGAAATGTAAGCAACTAAATGTAAAGGATACTTAAAATTTTTTTTTTCTTTGTATATCTGTTACTAATACCTTTTTTCATTCTAGCTGCCTTTTGACTTGACTTGGCAGAAACTAAAAGAGAAATTCAGTCAGTGTGGTAAGTATGCTAATGACTGCAGACATGTTAATATTGATTATGGAGGGAAAACTGATTTTAAACTTTTAAACATTGTATTTAGACTTGACCTGTCCGGATGTTTGTTCCTGGATAGTACGACAGGTCTGATTCTACTTCAAATAAATTACTCTGTTGTCCTCTGACATAGAGCAGGGCGAATTACTACTAAATAACAAGATTTAGAGTAGAGCCTGTTATTGTCTTCTGTGGATAAAGAAAGGGCTTGTTTTATTACCTGATTTTTAAAAGGTTAATATATCATCATTGCTTCCATTTAAAAACCTTTTTTTTTCTCTGTGGGAAATATTAATGAAGGGTGTATTTATTTCCTTGTTTGTAGTGTAGTGCAGTACATTGTCAACATGACCCTAAAATGCTGACATCCAAATGATGTGGAGTTAATAGATGACACCTATTCTGCATACTCTATTACCTCTAGGACACAGGAAACTTAGTTGATAGCTAAGGAATTCCTTAGACAGGTACATTCTGGTGGCCCTTCTAGCCCTTTCATAAACTATTCTTGGCTGTGATGATGCTGTGTATACAACCTTACTGTGTTCATTAGGCCTGTAGGTCTTCTTACTTTAGAAGAGGGCCTTTTTTTTTTTTTTTAAGCTTTTGTTTATTTATTTTACAGAGAGAGATGCAGTGAGAGAGAGAACACAAACAGGGGGAGTGGGAGAGGCAGAAGCAGGCTTCCTGTTGAGCAGGAAGCCTGATGTGGGGCTCGATCCCAGAAACCTGGGATCATGACCTGAGCCAAAGGCAGACACTTAATGACTAAGGCACCTAAGTGTCCCAAGGCCTTTTTTTTAGATGATGAGAGAATTAGTGTGAGTGGAACAACGTAAATAGATTTTCTGCCAGTACTTTTCTGCTATTGCATTGTATCCCAGAGACTATAATCATAATGGTAAGTTATAGAGGTGGCATATAGTGATGAAAAGGGACATTCAGTTTCTGAGAGTTGATGTAAAGTTAGGTGTATTTGGAATATATCTTTAATTTTTTGAGATCATGAGGGGAATAACTTTAGTTGTGATCAAAGTGATCACGTGGCTGTCATCTGCTCTGTTCTCAGAATACTTTATATACCCGACTCTGTGGTAATAATGTGCTCACATGTTTTCCCTCCTAGATGGAGGCTCTTGATGGAAGAACTGTCATTTTTAGTCTAACATTTTTCACCCCGTTGGTATATGGAGTAAGAGTTTGTTAAGGGTTTATGAGTGAGTTAAACACTCTGAGCAAATCTTATTCATTTATTCAGTTTTTAATCATTGAATAAATCTATAAATACTGTATTTTTGACAGTCGATTGTCATTAGAATTAGAAATGTGAACAAAGAAAGACATTATCCCTCTTGGCCTCAAAGAATGTACAGTGTAAATCTGTTTAGGATGTTTGTGGGACTCCTTTTGTGGATTTTTTTTTTTTTTTTGTATTTCATTTATATTTTATTCAAAGAAGAGAAACTTGATTTTTTTTATTGTAAAAAAGTTGTTGAAAATGAGTTAACTACTAAATAGGTACCACTAAGAGAAAGTAGAATTATAACAGTTTTGCAGAGTTGGAAATATTTGTAGAAGTAAGAAGTCTACCAGAATGAGTAAGTGACATTTGGCAATGAATCACATAGACTGCAGAGGAATGAATATATTAGGGCCTTGTGAAATATGTCAAATGAGGAGCAGTGGCAGCAGGTATAGATGATCTCTGTGATAGTTTCGGTAGGAAAAAAAATCTCCAAATGAGATATATGCCATTTTTTTAAACAGTAGAACTGAGACAAATAAAGAACAAAGTGGGGCAAACAAATGACCTTAATGAAAATGTGACCAATATTGAGTTGACTTTTGTCATTTGTAGGCATATTTCTTTTTGAGGTCAGACATGAGCAAGGCTTGCAGCAAACCCGAGGTCTTTTGGTGGGCTTATTGATGGAGTGGCGTTATTTTGATAGAAGGACGTGAACAATTCAAAAATATTTTCTGAAACGAAAAAAAAAGTATCCAAATCTACACTTAAAAATGTGTACAACATTTTAACTGATAAAATAATTATTCTTTACTTCGTTATCTTAGCTCTCTTTTTATGTCCTTTTTTTGATTAGTCTATAGTATGAGAGTAATGATTTTTGTTTTTCTCAGTTTTTTTTTTTTTAAGATTTTATTTATTTATTTGACAGAGAGAGACACAGCGAGAGAGGGAACACAAGCAGGGGGAGTGAGAGAGGGAGAAGCAGGCTTTCCGCTGAGCAGGGAGCTCCATGTGGGGCTCAGTCCCAGAACCCTGGGATCATGCCCTGAGCCAAAGGCAGATGCTTAACGACTGAGCCACCCAGGCACCCCATTTTTCTCAATTCTACTGTAAGAGCTTCTGACTTTTAGATTTATATTAAGGTAATACCATATTTAAATAATTCCTTGCCATCTTCCTGTTTTTAACCTTGAACTACATTGATGGAAAACAAAATAAGTTATGGTAATATGGAATTTGGTGTTCAGCTATTGACAGCTATGGAAATTATCTGGCTTGTATGAACTAAACCATCTCTATTTTTCTGCCACGTCCTTTTATTTATTTATTTTCAAATGTTGAAAAGTTTTTTCTTTGTTAGTATGGGGAGTTTCTTTTTAACCTGCTGCAGTCAGTAATGATCTCTTTAACAGCAAAAGGCAGGTTTTTGTTGTTTTTTTTCTCCCTTGAGCCCAAAGTGAGTAAGTATATATGCTTGATTGCTTCTTAGTAAGAGTCTTAAGGTAGTTCAAGCAGCTTCCCTAGACAATATCTGCCCATAGGTGGCTCACCAGCAAGCAGTTTGCTTATTAAATATCTTTACAGATCTTCCACGACTTACGATGGAGCTATGCTTAACCTACTGAGCATCATAGCCTCACCTAGCCTACCTTAAACATGCTCAGAACACTTAATATTAGCCTACAGTTGGGCAAAATCCTCTAACACAAAGCTTATTTTATAATAAGGTGTTGAGTATCTCACGTAATTGATTATATACTTACAGTGAAAGTGAAAAACAGAGTGGTTAGGTAGGTACACAATGGTTATAAATGTATGCATTGTTTATCCTTGTGATCGCCTGGCTTACTGAGGGCTGCTGTTCAGTGTCTTCTGCCCTGCATCTTATCATATCACTTGGAAAAAGATCAAAATTCAAAGTACAGTTTCTATTGTGTATCGCTGTTGTACCATCATGATGTCAAAACATTGTAAGTCGAACCATTATAATTTGGGACCATCTATATAGTGATTAAATGTCCTTGATAGGGCAAATACAGAGGCCCTAGAAAATGCACTTTAGGTTATACTACCTTCAGTACATTTCCTCAGCCTTTATAATTTAGGGGAAAATGTGTTCAGATATCCCAATATGTAACAATATGAGAAATAAGTGACTATAATAAAAATAGATCCTATCTATCCTATCCTATGTGATTCCTCAATGACATGCATTTTTTAGAAGGCTGAGTATAAATACATTAACTGACTCATTCAGAATTGGACACCACATTAGTTTAAGTTGTGCTAATGGAGTCAAATAGATAGTCTTTCAAACTTGCTCCCATATTTACTGTCCACTTTAGCTGTACTTTGACCTTCTAGCTCAGTATGATGATGTACCATAACATTTTAGAACTGCAGTGCAAGGAAAGTGCATTTAATTATTCTTCCTATAAACCATGTAAACAAATACAGCTCTGTTTCACACATTTCCATTATGGAGTTTTCTAGATCAGTATGCTTGTTAACCGGCTAGAAAGTAGAGACTTGTGGTAGATTTTATTTACTAAAGCATATGCTGCTTCAAGCATGACTAGTGGATTTTAACTCTGGAATAATTTAATAGTAAAAATAATGCATGGAGAACATTCATTGATAGCATTAAATCTTTGTTTTTTGTCCTTTATATCATAATTATGGCTTTTGTAGGACGTGATTTTGCTTTTTTTTCTCTTGTTTCTATGTTACACTTCACTTTGGTAGTAGATTTTATTGAACCACTTGTTTCTGCTTTTAATTTGGTATATTTTTATTTTTATTTTATTTTATTTTTTAAAATATTTTATTTATTTATTTGACAGACAGAGATCACAAGTAGGCAGAGAGGCAGGCAGAGGGAGAGGGAGAAGCAGGCTCCCCACTGAGCAGAGAGCCCAATGTGGGGCTCGATCCCAGAACCCTGGGATCATGACCTGAGTTGAAGGCAGAGGCTTTAACCCACTGAGTCACCCAGGCGCCCCTTGGTGTATTTTTAGATAAGCTTTTATATCAGCATTTCCCAAATCATACCACAGGATAATATTAATAGGCTGGATTGAATAAAGTAAAAAGTTTTCTTTCACTGCAGGATAAGTCATTTTTATAACTAGTACATGAAACAGCAACATGTTTGATTATTCTGTGGTACTGATTTCTCATTGCATACTATTTTGTCCTATACTGTTGTTAAAATAGCAGTTCTATTTTTGCTTCTTGTGGAATCATACAAGATCAGTAGATATTTAAGTCATTTAAGAAAATCCTCAAGAGCATGTAAAAATAGCCAGGAAGTCAGATTTTAACTTTTTGAAACAAATTCTTTTTTCTCCTCAATTATTGCTTTAGAAAAGTAAGTTATCTCAATCAGTGTTTTTATGGGATTAGGAAGAAACTTAGAAAACACACAGCTCTTTCTGGTTCTATGCCTAGTGGGGATTTTTGGACAGTCTAAACCATGAAACACAAGTATCTATAGGACATTTTCTATAGCATAAGTGTCCAAACTGTAAGCATGTTGAAGCATCTTGGCTGAGAGACCTTGTCAAATTGAAATGCCGTGAGGTCATTGTGAGTTTAGGAATTTAGGGGTCTGAGTATTGATTCCTAAATTGAGAGATACAGTTTAAGAGAAGAAAAAAAAGAGAGAGAAGCTTATCTTGAAAGATTGAGACAGATTTTGCACAAGGTAATTACATATTTTCCTTTGAAGTTCTGAAGGTTTCTTGCTTGAGTGAACCTTAGTATTCCTAATAAATCTATGATGGGATGCTTACATTAAGAAAAGCCCTAAGTTTTTATAAAAGGTAAAAGTAGATAGAATAAGGAGGAACCTCTAACCTTAAAAGCCCTTAAAAATTCTCCACAATCTCCTTTGGCATCACTGTACAATGCTGCCATTCACCAAGGTATGCTTCTTTAATTAAACTTCTTTTTTTCAGGTCCCAGCATTCAAGATATTAAGAGGATTCTGGAAATTGCTCTGCATCTATCTTTAAAGCTTTTTAAAGTTTCATTTTATGTTGTTTATTAGAAAGTGTGATTTCTGTGTTTTTTGTTCTATTTTGTTTTAACCAGTTGTAGGTTGTAGATCCAAACAATATATAATTTTGGGGGGGATTAGTCTGTTTTATAACTTTTAGAAATAGTTAAAGGCTACCTAGCCTGGGTTACAAGATCATGGTTTTGGTTCACTATGACATTTATTAACTTGGACCATTTAATTAGTATTGAGTGGGTGAGCAGTTGACCAGCAGTTGGTTTAAAAAAATATAGTAATGGTGGGATGGGAAATGGATGAAAAAATAAAAGTAGAAAAGTGGTCCAGGATGTTGTACATAAGAAAGCATTCGGATCAAGATTTAAACAGAAAACAAATTTTTCTACTCATGCATTGAGATTAAAATTGATCCTATCACCTGGAAAAGGGCTTAAGCAATTTTTTTTTGATAAGCCTTTTGCTTTCATTGTCCCCCTCTTCCTTTTTAGTCCCTTTATAGAACTAAATATAGTTGGCTTTCTATGTTGGTTGCTAGGCTAAAATTAGCCCATGGTAATTTGGCAACTATATAATAATCAAGGAAAAGAAATATTATGGTAAGTAGGCATACAACTTACCTGTTGTGGATCAGGTGATAATATATCCCAGTTTGCCTGGGGCTAGTCTCCCTTTGCATCTGTTATTTAGTGTATAATTACTAATAACTCTCAATTTAACTCTCTAAAGTGTTCTAGTTTGGATGGTCGATTTTTATGGGCATTTACGATTTGATGAATGATACTGTTTTATTCAAATATCAGTCTCTAGAGTCAGCAATGATACTAACTACATATGGAACAGTTATCTGGTTTTCTTCCTCCTCTTCGAAGCTTCTCTGAGGTTCTTTTTGTTCTGACCATCATTGTTTTTACTTTTATTGATTTAAATCTATGATACCTCTTCCATGCCTATATCCATAGCCCATTTGGTACCACTCTTAACACTGGAGTTCAAATTGTGATGTTGAATAAATAAATGATTTTGCACTGTGGTTGATAAGCAGAATTACGGGGGCCCTTTGTGGCCTAGTAAAAATTAAAATTCTGGGCAGTTGCTACTATTTGCAGTTATGAAGGAATGAAAAGGAGGATAAAAGAGAAAGAAGAGAGATTAAGGAGATTGGGCAGAAAGTGACAATTTTTTCTAAAACTAATTTTGTTTAAATTTATAAGTTTGTTATTGGGCATGGTGACTTGGTGGCATTTTTGTGCTAGTTTGCCATATTGCTATAAAATTCACTTCAGAAACTAATAATTTTTATTTAAAGTCTTTATTCATTTGAGAGAGTGTGTATTTGCACGCGTGTGTGCACAAGCTGGGGGGAGGGGCAGAAGAAGAGGGAAGAGCAGTGAGCCTGACACGGGGCTTGATCCCAGGACCCCGGAATCATGACCTGAGCCAAAGGCAGTCACTTAACCAACTGAGCCACCCAGGCACCCCCAGAAGCTAAGAATTTAACATAAGAAATAAATTATTTATTTTTTTATTTTGATAAAATCTTAAATACTAAGTAAGTTTAATTCCTATTTTGTATATTTTAATGTGTATATTTATTACTTTATATGAATTGCCTTATAGTCAGAATATGAAATGATGAGAATAATGTTTATATGATGTGTTATTTAAATCGTTAATGTTTTTAGTCAGTTATTTATCATTTCATTGGCTGTGAGGAATTTCAGACCTGTGCAGTCAAATGAAACCCATTTAAACTGAGTAATAATTCTGTAATTTATCTTTTACAGGTCATGTAATGTTTGCAGAAATAAAAATGGAGAATGGAAAGTCAAAAGGCTGTGGAACGGTCAGATTTGACTCCCCAGAATCAGCTGAAAAAGCCTGCAGAATAATGAATGGCATAAAAATCAGTGGCAGAGAAATCGATGTTCGCTTGGATCGTAATGCATAATTTCAAACCACGGTTGGAACATTCTTACATCTGTTTTGCTGAATCTCCTAGTAAAGAGTCATTTTTTTAGTAATACTGTATGCTTACAAAAGCTGTAAAAATGAACTTTTAAAACTCCCACCAGCTTTTAACAGTATAGTGTTAAATATACTGTGATTTTTGTTAATCTCAAGTTTGGGTTTTTAAAGACAGCAAGTCAGTCATTCAGTTTAAATGAATGGTTATACTGTTTTTAATGAAATAAGCCATTTTCTTGTTGTTACTTTCAGTACTACATAGTGGGATTTGTTTGTTCAAGTTTCCTCAGCTTTTATCAACTTATTGTAAGGTAAAACATAGATGATTTTTTCAAAACTTCCGTTTTATATATGTAATTGTCCTTGAAAGAAAGGGCTCAGACAAATTAGGATGTGATATTGGTTGGCTTTAAATTACTTTTCTTTGGTGATAAAGAATTACTGTAAGTAAGTTTTAGTTCAGGATTATTTTTATTTCACTTAAATGAAGAAATGGAGTTTTCTTTCTCTTCCCTCTCCCATCATTCACATTTTCCACATAACACTATTAATGTTAACCTCCACAGCCCCTTATTTTATTATTTCCAATGATTCCAAGTTCATATAGAACTGATAATGTGGTAAGTCCCAAGTATAATAACAGGCAGACTGCTCCCAACTTCCTGTCTAGTTTCCAGCCATTGAAGTGAACTGCTGAAAAAAGAAAAATAATTGATATGTTGAGAGCGATGGTTATGTAAGTTAGTCCTCTGCTGTTCACTTCTACAGGAGCTGATGCATTCATAAATGCAGTTTTAATAAACCATGGAACACCTAGGCACAGCATATCAAACACGTTGGATCCCATGATGTTAGACATAGCCATATCTCCTTTGCCTGCAAAAAAAGCATATTGTTAAAATGTGCACGCCAATACTGTATTTTATTAATAAGCTTCATAAAAAAAAACACTGGAAATTCTTTTTTGTTTGTTGGTTTTGGAAAATTGTTATTTTAGAGCAAAAGTCTTACTGAATTTGTATTTTTTAATTTGGGGGTTAGTATTTAAAGTCTTAACATTTATTTAATAATAATTATCTTTATTTATTAAATCATTTTTCAATAAGGTCTGTAGATTACTTGTTGCTTTTCATTCTAATTTAATACGGTTAATTACAATTTGATGCACATTTCAGCTGAATATTATTTGGGGGATTAGATTAGATTTAGTGAAATTGCTCTGCTATTAAATAGTAAACCCTTCTATTTGAGTCACTCTTTTTTTTTCTTCAAAGTATGTTAGCTGGGGAAATAAATATTTTTAAAGGTACCTTTGCTCAGTATTTCAGCCAGCCTTGTAGAATGGGCATTGCAGCTTGAGGGACCTAGCTCTTACCTTTTCTTGCAACCAATACACTTGCAATCGTGTCTGGCAGACTTGTTCCTGCTGCTAATAAAGTAAGGCCCATTACTGTATCTGGAATTTCTAACGTTTCCCCTGTAATTAACAGAGACATACTACAAGTTGCAAATCTTACAAATTCAATAACCATTCTCTGCAATTACTTCAGATATTTCCTTCCTGAACAAAAAGAAAATAGGCACATTTAGATTTCACAACCAATATGTACTTAAATTTTACCTAGCAAAATATTTGAATAAGATTGGTAAATTGGGTAGCCCAGGTAGCACAAATTTTTAATAGCAGATATCTAAAGATATTTAATAGAATTCTACTAAGGAGTAATTCCCCTACCTGATATACTTACAGAAGGTTTAGATGTTCACTGTTATCTCATCAAGGCCGTTGCTTAATATATGCTAATGAGATTGGTCATTTTCTGCTTTTCAAACTATTTTCTTAAAGTGATCAGAATTAAACAAACTGTTTATAGCTATTTTTAACCTGTAAATGTGTTACATGGTATCCATTTTTTAAGTTGTACGTACTTTGGTGATCTACCTTAAACAAAGGAAAACAAAATAGGGTTCTACTCGGAGTCTTCCTAACATTATGGTCCTGTTCTGGTAAATTCAGTATCAGTTCAACATTTTTCAGATATGTGTTCATTTTGGGAAGCAATCAGAGGGAAGTTAAAAAAAGGTACATGTAACTGCTCTTCTAATGTTGTGATTGAAAACTTACGTTAGCATCTTTTTTTTTTCTTAAATTGTCAATTGAAAGAATTTTAGCTGTTTATTGCATGCTTTATATATTGATATTGGAATTGTAATTGGTTGTTAATTTTTGTTACTGGTTTGCCGGAGTTCATATGTACATAAGTAACAGTAATATTTATCATCTTGGGGGCTGTTTTATGATCTATTACTTGATTTTGTTCTTTTCCTGATTTCCTATTGTGAAATATATTCTGGCTGAGAAAATTTGAAGAGATTTAATATGCAAGCTAATTGGACTTTTTGATCTTTCTCATTAAAAAAAAATCGTGCTTTCTTGCTAGCATGCTATTCTAAGTCATATATTAATTTGTGAAAAGTCAGAGATCAGCCTTTTTTTGTAAAGGGCCACGTAGTGATTACTTTAGGCCGTGCAGGCTATATGGTTTATGTTGCATCTATTCACCTTGGCCACTGTAGTGTGAAAGCATCCGTAGATAACGTATAAATGAATTAAACGAGTGGGCATGATTATGTTTAGTAAAACTTCATTAGCAAAAACAGGAGACCTGGTCATTTGGTCATATAGGCTATAGTTTGCTCACCTCTGATATGTCTATTCAGGCTAACCTTTTTGGGAGAAATTCTTGATTTTTTTTTTTTTTTTCCATGTTTATATTCAGTTTTTTCTTCTGGAGTTCTGTGGGACTAGAATGGATTATGGCCAAGCAGTAATATTTAAATTCTAGTCATGAAGATAGTAGAAACCTAAATTGAAATTTTATTTTATACCCTTTTCACGCATTTCATAGTTTGTTTATATGTCCATATTAAAAAGCAAAATAAAGTGCAGTTCAGTTAAACAGTGAGCATATATCGTTTTCTCAAAATGCTGGCCCCTTGCTATATTTTTCATTATGGAATGGAATTCAATATAAATAGTATATTGTGGACCCCATATGATGTGCTGTAATTATTAGCACAGTAGAAAGACATCCTGTGTATTTGATTCCATTTATAAGAAGATCCTGTGGCTTGTAACTCTGGGCTGTATAATATTGGGAATATAGTTGATATGTAATATGCAACTTACAAACCCTGAATGATCTTGGTATATTAATATTTAATCTTTTTGTAAGTAGCACATCTCTTTAGTCTTTGCTGAAAGAGAAATTTCCTCTGTAGCTAGACTACTTTTTGTGAATATATGCAGTTTGTTCTTCTATAAAACTGATTATTTTCTTTTTAAACTGTGCTCTTATGCTAAAGATACGTACCAGTTATTGTGACCATCCAAACCAGGATATATGTAAATACAGATATCCATAGTGCTGACATGAAAAATGTTATTACAAAGTAATTTTTCCAAAACTTTCTTCTACAGTCTGGTATGGTTAGAAAAAGTAAGGTAATAATAGGAAGGGATAGTACCCAAAAAATTCTTTTTAAGTCAGCTTCAGGCATGTTGAAAACACTTGGTGGATCTGTTGAGGGAAAAACAAATGATTTTGAGTTTTCTCTAATGGCCACTTAAGTTGGAAATGTCCATTTAGAAAGCTATATTGAAATAAATTAGCTGTATCACTTTTTAAGAGGCTATTTAAAACATTTGAATACCTCATTACTGATACTGCTGGCAAAAAGAAACTAACTGAGACTTTAGGGCAGATAGTATAAAATGTAATACTCAGCATTTCTTGATTTGGGGCCTTAAATCCATCAAAATAATCTTGGATCATTCACTAAATATATTAGCCATAATGTTTATGAAGTGTCAGTTGGACTTCTCTGGTTTTCTACAGTGTGGGTGGTCTTTAGTAACTTTTTTTTGCTTATGGGATTAACCTGGCTTCTACCTATTATAGCTATTATAGTTGTCTCTATTCCCCAGTATTGTTGATGTCTCTAGCCTGCCCTGTGTGTCAGATAATGCATACTTAGGTATAAAATAATTACAGCGTTAGTTTTGAATATTCCATCCTAATTCTCATTGTAAGTGTGTTTTGGAGGCTTGCTTCATTTTTCTTTCTTCCATTAGTTTACGAAATTTGGAATTCACTACCATTCTTAAGAAGAACCTTGAAGAAAATAGGAACTAGCGTGGCATCTACAATATAACTTACAAAACTCGAGAATGTTCCTTTATACAATTTGTTTTATTAAATTAATGGAAAACAATAATAGAGTGGATAAAAATAAACATTTACTTTATAAGATTATTTAAAATTTGTATGGCATTTACAAAAGAATGCACCCATATATCAGATCAAATTACATTACAACTAATGCTGGTAAAATAACTCGTGAAAAAAAATTTGCCAAGCCTCAGCCAATAGGCCACTAGGTAAATTTTAGATGTAATCTCAGTGTAATGAAAAAATTTAGAGTGGTTCTTTTTGAATTGTTATAAAATTTAACTTGGCAATATATACCACTTGCACTTGAAAGGCTAAAAACTATAATTATTGTAAAAAGGGGAAAAGTCTTTTTTTTTTTTAAGGTAGTAAAAGAATAACTTCTCTTCCTAATGTACTTAGGTAAATTTAGAATCTGTTTCATAGAACCACTTTGTAAAAAACTGACACATAAATTTTTATTTCTGGCCGTGGATGAATTTGACTTCTATTAAATATCTAAATGTGTTGCTGCTGCTTCAGATTGCATGTTTAAAACTTGACTATTTATTTTTTCCCACACCAGCCCTTTTTTCTAAATTACAAGTTTCTATAAGTGGTATTTCTTTTTTCTCAATCATGAACAAAGCCTCAGAATTTTCTCTCCTCCCTTTTCTTGTCTCATGTAGTCCTTCCATTGCCTAGTCTTGGTGATGCTTCCTTTGCATTCTTTTTTATTCCTACTTTCCTTTCGTCTAGGCATCTACCAAACATCAGCTTTTTTAGTAGCCTCTTACAGACCTCCATTTCTTTTGTCCTCAAATTTCCCTGCTTCATAAGCCTACAAAGACTTATATACTAGCATTTAAGGCTCTTCCTATCCTATTCTTTCTTATCTACCTTTTCTCTGCTTCCTTACTGTGTACATTCTGTGCTCCAGGCATGCTAGTACTTGAATAGGCCTCTTGCTCATATTAATTCCTTGGCCTCAAATATAGACTATACTCTTACTTCTACATCTTTACATAATAGACTTATATAGCTGTTACTATACACATTACATATTTATTTATGTAGCTCTGTTCATAAATCAGGTCATCAGCTGAAATCTGATCAGTTCTACAAGGCTCAGTTTAAATACTCCCTTCTCTGTGATAATCTTTTCTATGTAGCCATCTAATTTTATACAATCTGTCCCATTTAGGAACTACACTTACACTTTTTTCTTTTATAGTACTTAAGCCTTCATATTGTAGCTATTTTTTCTGTACAGCACTGGAAGCTTCTTAAAGCTAGGGACCACCTCTTCGTCATTTCTGAATCTCTACAGTATCTTCTACATAAGTATGTATAGTAATTGCCGGATTGAAATGAGATTTTTACGTTTTTCTAGTGAATAGGCTGAATAGCGGGCATGATATGCTTATTACCTTCAGAAACCTGACTAAAATCCTGTAAACTTAAAGGAAGCTGAGAGTAGCCAGACTCTTCATGAAATATCCCGCTGTCACTTCTTGATTGCCGACGGATGAATGGCTGACCCTCCTCTTCCCATCCCATCAGTGGCTGTTGTTCACTGCTCTCCTCCATAGCTTGGGCAAGACAGGTGCACCAAGGGCTGAATTTCTTTATAATATATTGGTTAATTTTAATGTTAAAACACAGCACCAAAACATATAATCCATATATCAAAAGCAGCAAAGTTCCTTCATACCTATAAATCAGAGAAATTTGTGTGTTTTAAAATTAAAAACACTTTTAAAGTTAATAGCTTTGGGCATATCTGCTTAATAATTTTACAGCATAGCAATACAACAAGCAAAGAACATTTCTAGGTGTATTTTGGTTTTATGGATGCGTCCTCACTTGGTTACAGCATTACTATATATTTATTGGTAAAAGCTTAACAGTCCTTTCTATATTTCAAATAAAACCAAGAATTATAAACTCACTGTCTTCGTTTACAGATTCTTTATAAATGGTAGGCATAAACAATGCTTTGAAAATAATAATTGTAGATTTTCAGAATAAAAGTTAATGAATAGTGATGGGCATCCTCCATCTCAGTTCACTGGCAGCAAATATTCCCCCAAATGTATGGTAATTATAAAAGAATATAGTATCGGTTCATTTCAACTGAGTCTATTCAAATCTGATATAAGAATTTTGTGTAAATTATTCAGAATATATGAGTCTTTCACTGGGACTTTTCAGTTTACAGAGTTTTTTTATTTTGATGTAATTAAATTTGGTGTGTATTCATAAGAAAATGAGGATAGTCTTAAAAATAAAATTATACCTTAGGCCCTGAGAACTGTTACTCTATGCTCTGATTTCCTAAAGAGTTATGATTGGCTAATACCGTATTTGCACCTGTCATTTACCTTTTATTTGATAGCCAGTGAATTTCTGCTACAGCTGGAAGCACAGAGTTCTTGATTTCCCTAATGGAGGGACCATAAGCTTGGATACTATCCTTGTCAGTGTCCCATTAGAGAAGACTGCTGGGTCCCAGAAGGATCCCTACTATATCCATTGGTCTTTCTTTGGGAAACAGACCAGAGTTTAGGATGATTCATTTAGAAATTTTTCTCCCTGCTAGATTTTAAGTTTCTTGTTAGGAGGTATTTTGCAGGGTTGCTAAGTTGTAGTATTCCAGAAAGGTGCCGTTTACATTGTTTTCTCTTCTTTTCTGGTATCCTCTGGCATTGAGCAATGCACAACCTCTTTGGTTGTGCATTATACATTACTCTCCATCCCTTATGATTCCTAGCATAGTGTTAAACACTTACTAAATACCTGGTTCTTATTAGTTGAAAAAGTTATTAGCTGTCCACTGATTCACCCTTTTTTTTTTTTTTCATTTTCTTGGAACAGCAATATACTGGGAGGTTACAAAGAAGGCAAACAATTATTAATACCTAAATATTGTTGATTCTTAGAGGAAGAAGGCTATAATTCCTCTGCTAAATGAACATCAGAGAGAAAGTTGGAAGAACCTGAAGATTTTAAAATTTACTTCCTCCATCATTTCTCTCCAGTCTTGTGACCATGACCACTTCTAACCAAGGCAAGGTAAACAACCCAGTAGTTGAAAAACCCAACTGTTGGGGCTTTAATGGACAACAAAAGGGAAGACTTTCTGAACAGGTAGTGTGAAGAAGGAAGGTTGGTAATATCCAGTGATTGTGAGACAAGGAGATTGACATGACTATAGAAACTTTAAAGATGGGAAAGCCCAACCAGCAGCTGTGATGAGGAAGTTAGCTCAGAGGCATATAGGAAAATGGTGCAGAAGTGGCAGATAATTGAGATCTCAGTTAAAAAAAAAAAACCAACATTGCTAAAGCATTGGAATTTCATAAAATACTCTCTGTAGTTGTGTTTTACATAAGAGTAACAATTATTTCAAGCTTACCAGTAAACTTGGTTGTCGAATATTATGCCAAGAACTGCGGCTACACTAATTGCATATGCTGCACAGTCTCTGAATAGGGGCCAACATGATAGCGTTGAGACCTGTAAAATGATAATTTACTGTTTCCATTACACTGTAACTTTAAGTACATGCTTAGCGTGATACTGAAATTGTATGTTTGTAGCCAAATATTGTTATCTTTTGCATTTTGCTTAGAGAAAAAGGAATTTTAAGAAAAATTGTGTTTTAAAGCCTACTCTGGTTTTCATAAATTTGACCAAGAGCTATTTGTGGGTAAACTTTAATGGAATACATGTTTTTCTACTGATTAATAAATTTGATTGAACACATTACTAGTGCCTTCTTTGTTCTAGATTATAAATAGTTTTAAGAGTTTGTCAAAACAATAAACATGTTGAGTGATGTTTTCTTACCTACCACATTAGATAGCAAGCCACAAGCTGCACAGATGCCCAAGAGGTTATACATTGCAGATCCAAGGATGGTGCTAATGCCGATATCTCCCTTTGTGATAAATACACCTATGAGCAAGGTAATTGTTAAGTAAGTGTTACTAGACTTGAAGATGAGAAAATCACATTGAGTAAGCAGAAAATATAAGGAGCAATATTTACCCAGGAAAGCAGTAACTAATTCAGGAGCTGAACTACCGGCTGCCATAAAAGTTGCACCTGCAACATCCTGAGACAATCCAAGGGCTGAAGACAAATGAAATTATGTTAAAGTGGCAAATGAAAGAGTTTGTCTCTATAGCTAAATATTCAAATCTATAGCTTCATAGAAAAGCACTGACAGTGACTTAAACTGGAAAAATAAAACAGGCAGGTTAAAAAAATTAGAGGAATCCAGTGCCTTGCTTTCTCTGTGAATTCATTAGTTAATGGTTCTGTAGGAAGGGAGAGAAGACCAGGGGCTTGTGGAGCTATGCTAAGACTCGGTATTGTGAATGCCAAGATACGGGGTGTTTTAGGACCCAGAAAAGATTCTTTTCTAGCTGTATGGCTTGTAGGTGTATAGTGACAGCATAAATTCTTTAAAATGACACTGTCAACAGTGCTCCAATAGGAGTTGGGAAAGTAAAGTATTTTAGGAGTCTTAATCCAATTTGAAACAGGAGGAAGAAGTAAATATTGGTCATTTTTAAGATCTGCAAGTGAACCTGAATTAAGGAGCTTATTCACAAATTGGCAATTTCAACCTTGTCATTACAAATGAGAGGAAACTGGTTAACTAGGAACCAAAAAGATTTACTATTGTAAAATTAGAATTTATTGATTTAAGACCTAAAACCATTAAGACTGCTCTAGAGTAGGAAATATAAGAAAACACTACTATTCAAATAGTTTGTGTATATCCCTCAGACTTAACAAGTGTGGAAATCCCTTATCTTTGGTGATTACTGGGATAAGAGTCTTAAGAAACTTTTGGCTCTTTCAATTTTAGAGTTAAGGGATCTACTATCGGAAGGAAAAGAGAAAGCCATGTTGAAAACTTGCTTTGGGGAGGCCAAAATATGTTGCATCAGAAATGCCCAACTGGGCTTTGCTGGTACACTAAAAAGTAGCCCATAGAAATAGCATGCTTTTTTATTCTTGGTGTGGCAGATTGTATTTTACAAAGATGGCTACAATATTTGCATCTGTGTGAATTTCCAGAACCTTTCCATTTCCTGCCCTCCCCCCAACCAAAAAAAAGGTAGAGTTTATATGTCCTGTAACTGCTTTGACTAACAGAACATGGCAGGGCCGTAATATCTCTGAGGCTGGGACATAAAAGGTGACAAAACTTTCTCATGATTCTCTCTAGGGACCTTTACTTTAGGGGCCCTAAGCCACCACATAAAACTCCGACTTCCACGGAACGCCTGTACTGGAGATACCTCATGAAGAAAGCATACAGAAGCAGAGATGCCTGACGCACCGTTAACTATTTCAGCCCACAAATTTTGAATTTCCCCATCCCAGGCACCAGACATGTGAAAGGGAGGAAGGTTTAAGATATTTCCAGCTTTCTATCATTGCATGAGCGACCTCAAGCTGGAACTGCCAGCTGAGCCCAGTAAACCCTCAAAGCTGTGAGTGGTAATATGGTGATTGTTGTTTTAAGCCACTAGTTTTGGGGTGATTGGTTAAGCAGCCATTGATAACTGAACACCTGGCTGTTGTTCACTTAATTTGTTACACTTTCTGAGTACCTACTATGCCAGATGCTTTTTTAAGTGCTAGGAATAGGACAGAAAAAGACAAAATTTTCTGCTCTTGTGGAACTTTCATTCTAGTGAAAAGAAACACAAGCAAAATATGTGTTGTGTTAGATTTTTGATGTTATTATTGGAATTGTTTGGGGTTGCCATGAACCTCACTCATACAAGACAGTGAATTTAGCTGATAAATATTGTATGTGTTCAGACTGCTCTACCAACTGGCTATTCTGCTATTTCTCGCCCTCTCCTCAGGCCTCCCTAGTCCCTGAGACACAGAAATATTGAAATTAGGCCAGTGAATAACCCTACCATGGCCTTCAAATGTTCAAATGAAAGGAAGAGTTGCACATCTCTCGCTTTAAATCAAAAGCTGGAAATGATTAAGCTTAGTGAGGAAAGCATGATGAAAGCAGGGATATGCCAAAAGGTAGGCCTCTTGTGGTCAAATAGCTAGCCAAGTTGTGAATGCAAAGGAAAGTTCTTGAAGGAAATTACAAGTGCTACTCTAGTGAACACACAGAAGGTAAGAAAGTGGAAACATCCTGAATGCTGATACGGAGGAAATTTCAATAGTCTGGCTAGAAGATCGAACCAGACGCTACATTCCCTTAAGTCAGAACCTAATCCACAAAGCTCTAACTCTCCTTAATTCTATGAAGGCTGAGAGAGAGGAGGAAACTGTAGAAGAGTTTGAGGCTATCAGAGGTGGTTCATGTGATTTAAGGAAAAGCCATCTCCACGACATAAAAGTGCAAGGTGAAGCAGCACATGCTGATGTGGAAGCTGCAACAAGGTATCCCAAAGATTGAGCTAAGGTCATTAATGAAGGTGGCTACACTAAACAGATTTCCAGTGCAGACAAAACTGTTCTGTTGGAGGAAGATGCCATCTAAGACTTCATAACTAGAGAAGTCAAAGCCTGGCTTCAAGGCTTCAAGAACAGGTTGACTCTTGTTAGGAGCTCCTGCAGCTGGTGACTTGAAGTTGAAGCCAATGCTCATTGACCATTCTGAAAATTCTCGGGCCCTTAAGAATGATGCTAAATCTACTTGGCCTGTGTTCACAGTTTACTGACTCTTTTATGCCCACTGTTAAGACCTGCTGCTCAGAAGAAAAGATTCATTTCAAAATATAACTGCTCATTGACAATGCACCTGGTCACTCAAGAGCTCTGATGGAGATGTACAAGATGACTGTTGTTTTCATGCTAACACAGCATCTGTTCTGCAGCCCGTGGATCAGGAAGTAACTTCAACTCTCAAGTCTTACTATTTAAGAACTACATTTTGTAAGACTACAGCTGCCATAGATAACGATTCCTCTGATGGATTTCAGGAAAGCTAATTGAAAACCTGGAAAGGATTCACCATTCTAGATGCCATTGAGAACATTCATGATTCATGGGACGAAATCAAAATATCAACAGAACAGAACAGGAATTTGGAAGAAGTTGATTCCAACCCTCGTGGATGACTTTGATGACTTCTTCAGCGGAAGAAGTAACTGCACATGTGGTAAGAATAGCAAGAGAGCTAGAATGAGAAGTGGAGCCTGAAGATGCAATTGAATGGTGGCAATCTCATGACAAGACTGTGATGGATGAGGTGTTGCTTCTTATGGATGTGCAAAGCAAGTGGTTTCTTGAGATGGCATCTACTCCTGGTGAAGATGCTCTGAAGACGGTTAAATGACAACAGAGGATTTAGAATACTGCGTACACTTGGTTGATAACAAAGCAGCAGGGTTTGAGAGTATGGACTGCAGTTTTGAAAGAAGTTCTAGTGTGGGTAAACTGCTATCAAACAGCATTGCATGCTACAGAGAAGTTGGTCATGAAAGGAAGAGTCCATCATTGTGGCTAAAGTCATTGTTGTCTTATTTTACAAAATTGCCACAGCCACCCCAGCCTTCAGCAACCACCATCCCAATCAGTCAGCAGCCATCAACACTGAAGCAGGACCTTCTACCAGCAAAAAGATGATGCTCTGAAAGCTCAGATGATGGTTAGTGTTTTTTTAACAAAGTATTTTAAAATGAAGGTATGAACACTTTTAGTCACAATGCTGCTGCACACTTAATGTAAATGTAACTTTTATATGCACGGGGAAACCAAAATACTGATTTCACTCACTACTTTATTGTAGTATTTGCTCTGTTGTGGTGGTCTGGAACCAAACCTGCACCATCTGAGGTGTGCCTGTACCTGGGCTTAAGAGTGCTCAAGGCAGGAATGAGCGTAAAGATTGGATGCTGGAGGCTAGCCTATGTGTTCAAAAAACAGAAAAAGGCTGGCATGTCTAGAATAAAGAGTGTAAAGGGATAGCAGTAGGAGATAATGTAAGTGGCTAGATCAGGCAAGACTTGTGAATCTTAGCAAGGATTTTAGCTTTTATTTTGAAATATACAGGCAGTCCTTGGAAAGTCATCCACATACTGCCTGTCTGTGATAAACCAGCCCTGGTCATCTTTTCTCTCATGGGTTTTTTTTTTTTTTTTTTTTGGTCTGAGAGACTAGCTGGAGGCTGAGCCATTTTGTGAAAAGTCCTCTTAGAAGAGCTGGAATGATTCCTCACTATTTGCCTTTGGTCATGTTGCTTGATGAACATGTTGCAGTGATGAATGAAGGGAGAGAAGTAATGTTTCGTGGAACAGATTTCATAACATTTCTTTTGCTGTTTAGAGTATCTACCTATCCATCGACTGATTGATCTATCCATCCATTCACCCCTGTGATGTGTAGTAAGACCAATTGGCCATAAAATTTAAAATAGGACATGATAAGACATATTGCTCTGTGATTAAGTTTTTTCATTTTAGGAGTGAAGTAAATGTTATCTTACATTCATGGTATACAGTTCACTTTCATGTACATAATTTAATCATCTCAGTTATCCTCAGATATGAGTGGTGGTATTTCTTTTTAACAGATGAAGACACAGGTCCAGGGACCTCAGTTACATGGATAGTAAGGATCTTCAGTGTGGGGAGTTAGGGCATACACCCTGAATCTATTGTTTCTAAATCCAGTGCTATGTCTATTTTATCGCAGAAACCCAGTATGAAAATGGCACTCAGACAAGCCAATTATAACATGATGGGTAACTGAGTTATTTTCTTCCCTGATTCTTG